CTATTTCAAGGTCTTTCCTATCATTTCAGTACTAATCCATTCCTCTGGGCCATTCAAAGGACTTACCGATAAAAAAATTACATTCTGGTGATGATCAGAGTCGACAAACATGAAATATAAGAGTGATGATAGTCTTGAGAATAAGAAAAAAATTGTCGAAAATTATTCCCTAAGGTCAAAACACATTTTCATCAGTGTCCTCTTCGTCTTCATAGATAAAATTTTTGAGATAAAAGTAGTTTTTTATCCGTTACACCCTTTACAAGAAAAAACAAGATTAAAATAATCTAAAGATTCTAATAAATCAAATCTAGTGACTAACAAACCTTTTTAAGTCTTAAAACCCTTTTCACTTCAAGCAATAGAGTCAAGGAAAATTTAAGTTAAAAATAATTATTTTAAAATGTTGATCTATGAACTTCCCGATGATTGTTTACTCGCCATTTTTGATTGTGTTAATAACCTGGACGATTTAATGAACTGCTACAAAGGTAAGATCACAATAAGGTAAGGCCACAATCATCTGATTGTTGAGGCGCAGCATTTGAATATTTTTACTGATTTCAAGTCATGTTGAAGTCATCTTAAGGCAATTGAATAAGGATTGAGCAAGTGAACACTTTTTTTGATTAAATAAAAATTTTCTTACAGTGTGTGTTGGATGGAGCCATTTAATTGCTAAGCGAACTAAAAAAGTTAAATAAAGGGTGTTGCTCTAAAATCCGCCAGCATCTAAAAAGTAAATGAGAAGATCCAAGGAAAAACTGGTTTCGGTGAGTTGATAAGGAATTTTGATTTACCAATAATCTCAATATGTGATTAAATTAAACACTCCTCTTAGTGACACTTACCTAATGATTAAAATGTTGTTGTTACTGTCCATCCATAGTAACGTCCACGCTTTCCTTGTTGTTGTTGTTGTTTATCCTTTTGTTTGTTTACATTCACTATTTCACTTAAACTAAACAATTCACTAATTGGAATGGAACCAGATCACCGAATTGAACACAAAACACAAGCTTTGATAATTTATCCTTTATTGAATTAATCATTCATTTTTATTCAACTGAAATTGAGTTTTGTTAGAGAGAGAAGGCAAAATGTGAGCCATTGTGGGCTAAGCAAGAATCAAGCCTGACATTTAAATTATTGACCGCTCGATCGAGGACTTCTTTTTCTACACATTCTATTTTTTGTTTTATTGTTGATTTCAATTGATCTAAACTGTAAGGCTTATCACGTCTAACTAGGTCCTCAATATAACCCCATAAAAAATAGTCAAGAGGATTGAGATCAGGAGAATGAGCGGGCCATTCAAAATCGCTTCTTCGACTTATTACTCGGTCATCAAAATAACAACTTAGAAGAGAAAGAGTAAGATCGGTGCAATGAGCAGTTGCACCATCTTGTTGGAACCTGTTAAACATAACAATATGTCTTAGTTTGTTAACAATTAGATTTTTCATTGTTACCATTTACAAGTTACAATTGATTGTTGGGTCCATTCAAATCCTTAGTTTTACTATTAAGATTTTACTAAAATTAGTTTTAGTTTGTATTGATTCCTTGATCAATAAAGTTCATTTAAACACTATTTAACAGGTTATGGGCTCAGCCTGCTTCTGATTGTGGTCAATCAATTGTGTTGATCAGTGTTTATTGATATTGATTTATTAAGCTTATCATATTTATTATCATGGAAGACATCAAGTTAACTTTGATTGACAAACTCAATGATCAAAATTGGGCTAATTGGAAATTCAAAATACGTTTGATATTAGAGGAACTCAATTTATGGGATATTGTTACCGGTGAAGAAACGATTGAAACAGTTGAAGAAAACCAAAGAGGCTCTTTCAATCAACGCTTAAGGAAAGCCTTCAGAATTATTGCTTTGAATGTTGATGATCAAAATTTAAGTTTGATCAGACAAACGACCGATCCAAGTCAAGCTTGGTTGAACTTGACAAACCACTTTGAACGTGTTTGTCTGGCTAATCAATTTTATCTTCGTAAAAGGTTATTGAATATTAAATACAACAATGGGGACAATATGGTTGATCATATTAACAAGATAACTGACATTAAACAACAGTTAGAATCTATTAACCAACATGTTGATGAAAATGATCTGGTCATTACATTGTTACAAAGTTTACCTTCAGATTATGAAAATCTAATTGTCTCGCTCGAATCTCAGTTTGGTTCCGATGAAATTGATTTTGAGTTTGCTAAAAGTAGAGTGGTTGAAGAATATCACAGGAAATTGAATCTGAAACAAAATGATATTCTGGTCGATCAGACAAGTGCTTTAGCGACTCAAAAGGTCAAAAAATTTCTGAACAAAAACAATAACAATGACAATGGAGATAAACGAAAAGGTAAAGGTAAAAGACCAGGCAAATGTAACTATTGTAAGGCTCCTGGACATTGGTTCAGAGAATGTCCTAAGAAAGCAATGGATGATGCTAATAAATCAAAAGACAATTCATGTCAAAATAATACTAAAGTTTCAGCTTTGATGGTTACTGTTGGTAAACGTTTTGACAACAATTGGTATTTGGATTCGGGAGCAACTTCTCATATGGCTAATGATAGAGATTGGTTTATTGATTTCAACCCAATTGAAACATATTCAATTTCATTAGCGGATAATAGTGAAATTGAAGCAAAAGGAATTGGCACTGTCCGAATCAAGGTTAAACATAATGACTATGTTGACTTGAGCAATACACTTTATGTTCCGAATTTGGGTAAAAATTTGTTATCATTGTCAGCGATTGACAAGAAAGGTTGCAATGTCTTGTTCGCAAATGGTAAATTCACAGTTAAAGGTCAACATTGCGAAGATTTATTTGAAGGTCAAGTGGTCAATGGTTTATATCAAATAAATGTTGAACCGTATTTCATTCAAGCTAATATTACTGAGAAAAATAATAACAATTGTGTCATGTTATGGCCCAGAAGACTCGGTCATTTGAATATTGAATCAATTAAAAAACTTGTCAAAGTAGGTAAATTGCCAGAATTGGACAGCTCAAATGAAAAGGAGATAGCTAATTGTGAATCTTGTCTATTTGGCAAACAAACAAGAAAACCATTTGAAAGTTCAACAACGAAATCAGTGAAATGTGGTGATCTGATTCATAGTGATATAGCTGGTCCTATGTCAGTTGAATCACTCGGTGGAAACAAATATTATCAAACATTCATTGATGATTATAGTCGTAAGACTTTTGTTTATCTATTAAAGAGTAGAGATCAATCTTATTCAGCATTTTCAACATTTATAATGAAGTTCAAAAATCAAATGGGAAGCATGATAAAAGCTATTAGAACTGATAATGCTCGCGAATTTTCATCGAAACAATTTACTGAACTATTGACAGCGCATGGTATTGAACATCAATTAACAGTACGTTTTTGTCCTGAGCAAAATGGTATTGCAGAGAGAATGAACAGGACTATTATGGACATTGTTAGAACAATGTTAAACGATACAAAATTGAGCGAAGAGTTTTGGGCTGAAGCTGTTCATACAGCAGTGTATTTGTATAATCGAAGACCACATTCCGCTATTGATTTCAAACTGCCTGAGGAAGTTTATTATGATAAGCAAGTTGAATTGTCCAACATTAGAGTATTTGGAAGTTATTGTTATGTCCATGTACCTAAAGAAAAGAGACAAAAACTTGACAGTAAATCAAAGAAATGCATATTCATTGGTTATCCAGATAATCAACGCGGTTACAAAATTTGGGATAACAATGAAGGTAAAATGATTGTTTCAAGAGATGTATTTTTCAATGAAAACTTGCTTACAATTGATGCTGCGAATGTCAGTAAAGTAAAACCTCAAGATCCTCCATTATCAATGTCAGAGTTGAGGACAAGATCAGATAGAGATATTTGGTTTAAAGCTGCACAAGAAGAAATCCAATCTTTAAATGATAATGAAACATGGGAACTTGTTGATGTTAATGATGATATGAATATCATTGACAGTAAATGGGTATTTTCATATAAGTATAATGCTGATGGAACCATTGAAAAGGCGAAAGCTAGATTGGTTGCTAAAGGTTTCAAACAAAAACCTTTTATCGATTACATTGAAACTTTTGCTCCGGTCTCGAAATTTGTATCCATAAGAATTATATTAACAGTAGCAATGATGAAAAAGATGTTAATAGTTCAAATGGATGTGAAGACAGCTTTCTTAAATGGAACCTTAATCGAGAATATTTACATGCGACAACCTGAAGGTTTTACTGTTGACGAAAATAAGGTGTGTAAATTGAAGAAAAGTATTTATGGGCTGAAGCAAGCAGCAATGGTTTGGAATACTGAGATTGACAATCATCTTAAAAGTCTTGGTTTTATTAATTTATCAACAGATACATGTATTTACAAACGTAAAACCGTTCTTGATGAAATGTTCATTATACTTTATGTTGATGATTTGATTGTTATTGGTACTGATGAAAAATGTTTGCACGAATTTGGAGAAAATTTGAAGCAAAAGTTTGAATTGAAAATATTGCCAAATCTTGACCAATTTCTTGGTATCAATATTAAGTTGGATAAAACAAATAATGTTATTGAACTATCACAAGAAAGATACATCGTTGAATTACTTGAACGTTTCAATTTCAATGATTGTAAATCAGTGAAGACTCCTTTTGAATGTAATGTCAAATTTGAACTAACATCAGAGAAACAGTCGAATGGGTTTATTACTAAATATCAAAGTGCAATTGGTTCACTGAACTATTTGGTAACATGCACAAGACCAGATTTATCAATTATCGTCAGCATATTGAGTCAATTCAATTCAAATCCTAGCCAAGTTCATTGGTCAGCAGTCAAGAGAGTCTTTCGTTACTTGAAGTCTACGATGACTATTAGCATTATGTTAGGAAAAGATAAAGGTCCTATTGATTTACTTGGATATGCTGATTCTGATTGGGGTGGAGATAGATTTGATCGAAAATCTTACACTGGTTATATTTTTATTCTGAATAATAGTCCAATATCATGGAATAGTAAAAAACAACCAACAGTAGCATTATCAACAACAGAAGCTGAGTATATGGCTCTGACTTCAGCTACTAAGGAAGCAATTTGGTTGAAGCAATTGTTTAATGAGATTGGTATCAGTATTGAAACGGTTAAATTATTTGGTGATAACCAAGGTGCTTTGAAGTTATCTAAGAACCCTGTATTTCATGCTCGTACCAAACATATTGACATTCAATATCATTTCATAAGAGAGGCTATAAAAACCAGGCAAATCAATCTTGACTATATTCCGTCTGAAAGTAATATTGCAGACTTATTAACGAAACCATTACATGGACCAAGATTTATCAAGCTATTGAAACAGATACTCAGTCATGTTTAAGATTGAATTGTTAACAAGGGTGGCTGTTAAACATAACAATATGTCTTAGTTTGTTAACAATTAGATTTTTCATTGTTACCATTTACAAGTTACAATTGATTGTTGGGTCCATTCAAATCCTTAGTTTTACTATTAAGATTTTACTAAAATTAGTTTTAGTTTGTATTGATTCCTTGATCAATAAAGTTCATTTAAACACTATTTAACAGAACCAGTAATCTTTTAAATCGTAACCTTTTTTAAGAAGCTCAGGAATAAAGAAAAAATCTATCATATCTTGATAGGCATATTGAGTGACGGAAGTTTCAAAAACATAAGGACCAATTATGCCATCTGAGCTCAGAGCAACCCAAACATGAACAGACGGTGGATGAGCGGAAATTTCATTGACTTCAGGCTGGTTCGGTTTATTAGGTAACCATGTTCTGATATTCTGTCTATTGATTCTTCCATTCAAGGTAAAGATTTTCTCGTCACTGAACCATATTTTGTTTAAAAAAATTTGACCTAATGAAAGGGCCTGTTTTAATCTGACGCTGAAGCTGAATCTTTGTTGAACATTTGCTTGTGATAATGTTTGACCTTCAACAGGCTTGTAAGGATATAATCCAGCTTTTTTAAGAATCCTTTGAACAGTTGACCAATGAACCCGAAAAATTGATGCTGCTTTTCTCAATGATGATTTAGGGTCCATAACAAAGTGTTGTAAAATTCCATTTTCATCAATATGAGATCGTCTTGCTGGTCTTTTTGATTTCTTGTTAATTACACTTCCAGTTTCTTTGAATTTCTTGAATAAGTCAAGGAGTGTCTTTCGTGGCATCTTCTCAAAGCCTAACGCTTCCAACTCATTATTCATCTCTGAACAACGCTCATTGTCACTTGAGAAGAATCGATACACCATTAGATAAATTATCAAAGCTTGTGTTTTGTGTTCAATTCGAGGATCTGGTTCCATTCCAAATTAGTGAATTGTTTGGTTCAAGTGAAATAGTGAATGTAAACAAACAAAAGGATAAACAACAACAACAACAAGGAAAGCGTGGACGTTACTATGGATGGACAGTAACAACAACATTTTAATCATTAGGTAAGTGTCACTAAGAGGAGTGTTTAATTTAATCACATATTGAGATTATTGGTAAATCAAAATTCCTTATCAACTCACCGAAACCAGTTTTTCCTTGGATCTTCTCATTTACTTTTTAGATGCTGGCGGATTTTAGAGCAACACCCTTTATTAATATATGCTCCGTAAGATTCAAGTTTCATTAATGCTTCTTCTCATTTTGATTTATTTCTTGATTACAAACTTTATATTTTCAGATGGACCTGATTATTCATTTGATTGTGTTTATTATGAAGGAGACACTCAGATTGATGGAACTTGTCTGTCACTATTTCCAAATTTAATAGTTGGTTTATATTATTAATATTATTCAAATGTCTTTTGCGTTTTCATTGAACTTTTCTCATTCATTTTATCCATTCAGGTTGCTGAACTTTCTGATAGATTCGACGTGAAAGTAAAATTTAAAGATATCTTTGCACTTTTTAGATATCATGAATATTTGAAAGGAATAATCAATTGCTTTAATGAGGATGAGCCAATGAGAAAATATAGTGCTAAACTCGAAATGATATCCTCGCGTCGCATTGAGCCAAGTGTTATACGAATTGGTTCCAGCACATTTGGAGTTATAAAGGTCGTAATGATTTCAAAAAGAGTGCACATCATTTCCCAAATCTTGAAAGACTACATGTTACGATTGAAGGTGACGATTGATATATTTTCTCAAGAAATGTTTACTCATGAAAATATTTCGTTCATCCCCAGACAGTTACGATGGTCCAGTATTGGAAAAGCTTAAAATACTTGAAGCGGAATCTATACGTCCTTAGACATTTGTTATGTTTTCCAGTTCATGGATGCATGTCCTAATCTACTAAGTGCACATATTTATTCGGGTATGGTTTACTTGTTTACTGGCGAAATATCAATACACAAATGCTTGCAAGATTTAGTTATAGAATTTTTAAGACCGCTTGAAAACCTGCATGATTTCAAAAGATTGTTTATGAAATATCCGAATCTAAAACATCTCAGATTGAAAATGAAAGAAAACACAAAAGATGAACATATCGAACAACTGGTTCACATTTTACCCAACTTAGTGCTACTGGATGTTACTGAATGTCCTGGAGTCACTCAAAGAGCTGCTGATTATGTTACAGATTATTGTAAAAGATATGGACGACCAATCAAATTTTACTTCAATGGAAATATTCCTGAAATGGACTCACTTTGGCCGGATTTATACATTAAAAGAGAAAAAATTGGTCGAGCCTTTGATTTCATGAAACATTGTTTTCTTAAAGATTTTTATCATCTTCCATATTTCTTGATTCCTATTGATTATTGAAAACCACATATTTACAATAGTAATATACAACATGTATTTGTTTAGCCTTTAATCACTTTATTGAACAAGAAAAGTTAAATCAGAACAAATGACTTCCGCGGAAAAATTTGGTGCCATAACTGTAGTGGCGATCGAAGTTTAAACTTTGACTTCGATTCAATTCAGTTCAAGAAATAAAACTTATGCTCATTAATATATTTGTTATTAATATTCATTACCTCGGAAGCCCACTCGAAGAGTCTCAGCTAAAACTCTATTACTCATCCACATTATTTCGCGATCAGTGAAGACTCTAAAGACATAAACACTTCAATTTTGTACATAAACAGAAATCTCTTTTGCAAAAAAAAATTATATTTTCCGGTGACCGTGAAAAGTTGTATCAGAGAAATGACTTCGATCAAAAATCTGTAAATAACTACTAATGGGGATCGAACTTGCAACTGACCTCGATTTTCTCGGAAATTGTCGATCATAAAAACATTTCAATTGAATAGATAAACTTTCAATTTTTCCGTATCTTCATTAGTCTTCCTATTCATATTTATCTAATATCCAACTTGATTGAATCTTTTTCAGATTATAATCAACAAGGTTATTTCCGTCAGCATTAGAAGGTCATCTGTCCAAAGTTTATCCAAATAAACTAATATCGATAACTTCTCGATGGCAATTCATCGATAACTATCGATTTTATCGATAAAACGGCCCAGAACCATATTGTTGAAACACTTTACACTTCGTCTTTTACCCTTTTGTTCAAAATCACCAGATCCAAGTGAAATCTTTAGTTATTAATATTTATTTTAAAATGTTGATAAATGAACTTCCCGACGATTGTTTGCTCGCCATTTTTGACCAAATCAATAACCTGCATCATTTAATAGCCTGTTTTAAAGGTAACTATGAATCATGTTTTTTGAAATGAAAATTGTTTACAGCGTGGGTCACAAAAATCGATCCTCGTCAAATGAAAATATGTCTCAATAATTTAATAAAAATTTCATTTCAGTGTGTCACAAATGGAGTCATTTGATTGCTAAACGAGCTAAAAAAGTTAAATATTTTAGAGGTAAGAATTCAAATTTTCATGAGGGTTTATTCACATTTTGATCAATTTATTAAAGAAATTTTCGTTTTCAGATTATCGTGCTCGTAGACCTGATTATTCACCTGATTATGTTTATTATAGAGACAGAGATCTGATTGATGTAGCCGGTTTGAGCTCATTATTTCCAAATTTAATAGTAAGTTTGTATTGTTAATCAAATCTCTTTTTTAATTTTTCATTGAATATTAATTTCCAATCAGATTGCTGCATTTTCTAATAGATTCCAAAGTGAAGTAAAATTTGAAGATATTATTGCATCTGTCAGAAAACATGAGCCTTTGAAAGAAATGATCACTTCATGTCGTTTAGCAATGGAAGGATGTTGTGATAAACTCAAAATGCTAGCCACCGAGTGTAGTGAGCCACGCATTCTACGAAATTGTTCCAGTATGAAACTATTGCGTATTTTTGGTACTCTAGATGATCTCAAAGAGGACGCACAATATTTGCCAAATCTTGAAAGACTACTACTTCTTATTAATGGTGAGTATATTTATTTCTTCAGAAATGTTCACTTATGAAAATCCATCTTGCATCCTCAGGCAGTTACTTCGATGGTCTAGTATTGGAAAAGCTCAAAGTGGTTGTAATGTCCTCAAATGTTTTCAATCTTGGTGCGAATTTTTACGGCTTCCAGTTTATGGATTTATGTCCGAATTTACAAAGTGCCCATATAACCATTAATTCTAGTACAGTGCTTGTTGATGAAACATTAAAACACGAATCTTTGCAAGATTTAGTGATACATTGCGTAAGTATTAATTGAATTCGAGATGTAATTGCCTTTTTGAAAAATATTTTCGGAATACACTTTATTCGATCAATTAAAGATTGCAATCAAGAATGCTAGGTTTTGTCAGGCTGGAAGGGTCATCTGGTTGTCCACATAAACTAATTGATTTTATACTTTTAGGAACATTATGGCCAAATCTGCGACGATCTAGAAAGAGTTCTTATGAAATATCCGAATCTCAAACATCTTGCGTTGAGGAGACTAATAAACTTAAAAGATGAACATATCAAGCAATTGGTTGACATTTTACCCAATCTGGTTATATTTGATGTTCGCGGATGTCGTGGAGTCACTCAAAGAGCTGCTAATTATGTCCAAAATTGTTTTGAACGAAATGGAAGATCAACCAAATTTTACTTCAATGGGAATCACGATGAAATCAAACCAGATTGGCCTCAGTTGTACACTAAACGACAACAAATTTGCCGAGGCTTTGACTTCATGGAACGTTTCTTTCTTAAATATCGCTCGATAATAGGTCGTGATCGCAGATTGAAAATCAGATACACGTGAATAATATCTATTGTCTAATTTAAAAAGTTGTCTCTGTGATTAAAGAAACGGAACTTTCATATCAAATTAAGAAGCGGTAGAAAACTTTTTTGATTATAATGGCTTCAGAATGAATAGAATGGCAAATTGCGAAATGTGAATAAATTGTTCGCCATGATTTCGAACGATCTTTCTTAAAATTTTAGATGCTGGTAAAATAATGCTAATTTTCGTGTTTCTCATTTCGCTCACGTTTAATTTTCTTGAATTTTTTATATTGATTACTGAACAAAAGCAGTGAGAAAAAAATTTCATTCTAATTAATAATTCTGCAAAATATGATTTAGAAATTAACAAATTTTTGTTGTTTATTAGTGGACTAGGAAATCACACAATTTTTCTGATGATAATCAACGTTGGCTGAACTGTAAGAGCGAAATGGGTGATGAATATGAGGGTTGTAATGGTGGTTCTGTAAATGAAGTCTATTTGATGAAGGAGATTTATTTGTGTCACATGAGAAAAGGGCTTTTGCTTTCCGACGAAGCGTACTGTTAAGGTCTTTATATTTGTGAGAAGGTGAATGAGGTGATCTGGCAGATTTCATGGTGTAGCTTGTCAATGATGAATACGAGTTGATGTAAAATTTCAATTTTGGAGGCAAAGGTAACTGTTCAACTCCGTAAACAGTGGTACATGAAACGATAGATCTACAGCAAAGCTCTGTTAAGGAAAGAACTGAATTATGCCTCCAGACATTTTCCATTCCATTGCGAAGAAGAACCATGCGAGAAAGTTCTGCAAATGATTCTCTATTTTAATGTAGCTTTTTAGCCAGGGCTTGGTTATTAGCCATTTTAGCTGTTCAACGCACGACTAGACTCACTAAAATAGTCTAGTGGCTAGCTAGTCAGCTAGTTTTCCCTAGCTACATTATCTAGATTGAAGCCAAGAAAAAATCCAAGGCCTATTCTTATACAATGTTGATCAACGAACTTCCCGATGATTGTTTGCTTGCCATTTTTGATTATTTGAATAACTTGGACGATTTAATAAACTGCTACAAAGGTAATTACCAATCATGTTTTTATGATAAAACTCGTCTATTCCCATTTCAAGGGTGTGTCTCTAAAGATTAACCCTCTTTATGTGAAAATACCGAAAACGTATTTCGATTTTTCATGTATCAATTATATTAAAACATGCATTGACGTTCTTGGTTGAGTTGTCTGATCTATACCAAGTTGAGAAAGGATACGTTAGTGTTTCTTGAGTTACATGAACGCAATTGTTGATTTTTTGAATCCTTATGCCTTCACTAAACTTACAAGACTGAATAAAATAGCTCGCCAGGAAGTTCCTGGTAGGAACTGATTTATCATCATCATACAGTTGTGAAAAACCAATTGAAACCAATTTGAAAAATTTTACAAATCATAAGTGCAATTGTGACCGAATGCAGCATCCTACGCAACATTTGATGAGACGAAACTTACTTTTTCAATGTCTCTTTCAAAAATTAAATTTATTTTCAATTTATAGAGAGTCGATTCCTAGTGACACACCCATTTGCTTATCTTAAGCGATGGTCGCAATTTTTTGCGTCAGCCTTTGAGTGCTTTTCTGGATAGTCCAGAAAGATTTTAGGTGAGTCAACCAGCTTCGGAATCTTAGCAATATTAATAACTATTATAATTTGTGGAAGTTTGATAAGAACGAAATAGCTTATGTTACCTAGTGATCATTACATCACTCAATCTTTTGAGGCGCAGTATTTGAATATTTTTACAGATGTTTAGTCATGTTGTGTTGATCGTGAAGGCAATTGAATAATCATTCAGTGATTCATTAAAAAATTTAATTTCAGTGTGTACTAAATGGAGTCATTTAATTCCTGAGCGAACCAAAAAAGTTAAATATTTTATGGGTAAGATTAAAGTTGCATTTATGCTTGTTCTCATTGTCATCAGTTTATTAATCGTAGAAAAATTATATTTTCAGAGGATCCTGGTTATGCATCTGATTATGTTTATTATCAAGGAAGAGATTTGATTGATGGAACCTGTCTGAGCACATTATTTCCAAGTTTAATAGTAAGTTGATATTATTAGTCAAACATGTTCATGGATATGTTATTGAATCTTAATTTTCTTATTTATCTTTTCGATTTAGATGGCTGAATTTTCTTTTATATTCGATTTGAAAGCAAAATTTGAAGATACCGTTGCGTTTGTCAGAAATCAAGAATCTCTGAAAGCATTAATGATTTACAAAGAAACAGATGAATATTGTGACAAACTCGAAATGCTATCCCTTACATTTGTTGAGAAAAGCTTTCTAAGAAATGTCTCCAGTGTAAAGCAATTGTACATTCTTTATGCACATCTTGATTTCTTTAGTGATGCACATTATTTTCAAAATCTTGAAAGACTACATATTCTACTGGAAGGTGATTATGAAAATATTTTCTGAAATGTTTGCTTATAAAAATATATCTGTCATCCCCAGACAAGCAATACGATGGTCCAGTATTGGAAAAGCTTAAAGTAGTTGAATTAGGCTTCACTGCTGATGAAAAAACAAATTATTATGGTTTCCAGTTCATGGATTCATGCCCAAATTTACAGAGTGCACATATATCCGTGCAAGGTAATCTTTTGTGTGTTAATGAAACATTAAAACACGAACGCTTGCAAGATTTGGTTTTACATTTTGTAAGTATTGATTCAATTTTAAATGAAATGTAATTACTTTTGTGAAGAATGTTTTCGGAATATCCGAATTCATTCAATCTAGCTCAGATTAAAACCAACAAGATTAGGCAAAGTCAACATTGGAGAGTCATCTGTTCAAAATTTAATCCAATTGTCTTTATTATATTTATAGATGGACCAAATCGAATGGGATGGTTTTGAAGGAGTTTTTAGAAAATATCCGAATCTCAAACATCTTAGGTTGAAAGGCAAATTGTTTTTACAAGATGAAAATATCGAGCAATTGGTTAACATTTTACCAAATTTAGTGCTACTTGATGTTAGTGGATGTATTGGATTGCCAATTGTCAGTAACAGAGCTGCTGATTATGTTACAAATTATTGTGCACGACATGGAAGATCAATCAAATTTTACTACGATGAGAATCGCCATGAAATCAAATCAGATTGGCCGCAGTTATCCACTAAAATTGAAAAAATTAGTCGAGGTTTTGATTTTATGAAACATTGCTTCCTCAAAAAATTCAAAGAGCTTCCATTTTTCTTGATTCCTATTGATTATTGAAAACCACATATTCAGTAATACACAATATGTATTTGTTAAAGAATATTTTGTAATCTAAAGAGATTTATCTTTATCGTTTAATCAATTTATAGAACCATGAAAAGTTGAATCAGACAAATGACTTGCATTGAAAAATTTGGTGCCATAATTTTACGCACGACGATCGGAGTTTAAACTTTAACCTCGATTGAATTGAATTCAATAAATGGACTTTATTCTATTCTATCCACTAAAAAAGAAAAAATCAGTCGAGGCTTTGATTTCATGAAACATTGTCTTCTTAAAGATTTTAGTCGCCTTCCACGTTTCTTGATTCCTAATGATTATTAAAAGCTACATATTATAATACTTCCGATCTGATTTTCCAGTGAATATTTTCAATTGAATTCATCTTGCATTCGCAGACAGTTATCACAATGGTCCAGTCCTGGAAAAGCTTAAATTAGTTGAACTGGCCACAAATATTGACAGTTTTGTGAGATTTTTATGGTTCATGGATTCATACCCGAATCTACAAAAGGCCCATATTACCGTGATTTCTAGAGCTTTGTTTGTTGATGAAACATTAAAACAAGAAAGTATGCAAGATTTAGTTATAGAAGTCCTAAGTATTAGTTGAATTCGAAATGTAATTGCTTTTTTGAAATTTTTTCGGAATTTGAAATTTATTCTATCTATTAAAGATTTAAATCGACAAGGTTAGGTTTTGTGATCATGAAAGGGTCATCTGTTTATCCACATGAACTGATTTGTTTTATATTTACAGTATTGTAATGACCAAATGTGGAATGATTTAAAAAGATCGCTTATGAAATATCCAAAATTCAAACATTTTAGTCTGCGGAGTCCAGAGTACATGACAGATGAACATATCAAGCAATTGGTTCACATGTTACCCAATCTGGTTATATTTGATGTTTCTAGATGTGGTGGTGTCACTCAAAGAGCTGCTAGTTATGTACAAAATTATTGTAAACGAAATAGATCAACCAAATTTTACTTCAATGGGAATCGCCATGAAATTAAATTAGATTGGCCGCGGTTATCCACAAAATATAATAGAAAAAATTAGTCTAGGTTTCGATTTCATAAGACATTGCTTCCTTAAAGATTTTGGTGTCATTTTGAAGCACATTGAAGATCAACCAAGTTTTACTTCAATGGGAATGACTATGTAATCGAATCAGACTGGCCTCAGTTATCCAGTAAACAAGAAAAGATCAGTAGAGGCTATGATGCCATGAAAAATTGCTTTCTCAAAGACTTTCATGACCTTCCATATACCTCGGTTCCTATTGATTTTTGAAAACTTCATGCTCATTAATATATTTGTTATTAATATTCATTACCTCGGAAGCCCATTCGAAGAGTTTCAGCTTGAACTCTATTACTCATCCACTTTATTTCGCGATTAGTGAATATTTTCTAACTTCTAACTAAAGACATAAACACTTTAATTTTGTACATAAACAGAAATCTCTTTTGCAAAAATAAATATATTTTCTGGTGACCATAAAAACTTGTATCAGACTAATGACTTCGATCAAAAATCTGTAAATAACTACCAATGGGGATCGAACTTGCAACTGACCTCGATTTTCTCGGAAATTGTCGATCATAAAAACATTTCAATTGAATAGATAAACTTTCAATATTTCCGTATCTTCATTAGTCTTGAAAAAATTTATTTATCTAACTTCCTATTCATATTTATCTAATATTCAACTTGATTGGATCTTTTTCAGATTATAATCAACAAGGTTATTTCCGTCAGCATTAGATGGTCATCTGTCCAAAGTTTATCCATATAAACTAATATCGATAACTTCTCGATGGCAATATATCGAGAAATTGATATTCTCGCTACAACTTTGCCATTTTATTTGAAATCGCCAGCGGCAGCTATTATCTGCACCCAGCGATCATCGATAATTATCGATTTTATCGATAAAACGGCCCAGAACCATATTGTTGAAACACTTTACTCTTTGTCTTTTACCCTTTTGTTTAAAATCACCAGATCCAAGTGAAATCTTTAGTTTTTTATTTTTATCTCAAAATGTTGATAAATGAACTTCCCGACGATTGTTTGCTCGCCATTTTTGACCAATTCAATGACCTGCATCATTTAATAGCCTGTTTTAAAGGTAACTATGAATCAAGTTTTTTGAAATGAAATCGTTTACAGCGTGGGTTATAAAAATCGACCCTCGTCAAATGAAATTATGTCTGAATAATTCAATAAAAATTTCATTTCAGTGTGTCTTAAATGGAGTCATTTGATTGCTAAACGAGCTAAAAAAGTTAAATATTTGATGGGTAAGAATTCAAATTTTCATGAAGGTTTATTCACATGTTGATCAATTCACTAATCGAAGAAATTTTTATTTTCAGATTATCGTGCTCGTGTACTTAATTATTCACCTGATTATGTTTATTATAGAGACAGAGATCTGATTGATGTAGCCGGTTTGAGCTCATTATTTCCAAATTTAATAGTAAGTTAATATTGTTAATCAAATCTCTTTTTCAATTTTCCATTGAATATTATTTTCCACTCAGATTGCTGAATTTTCTGAAAGATTCCAAAGAAAAAGTTACGTCTATAGATGTGAACATATTTTAGAATTTATCAGAAAACATGAGCCTTTGCGAGAAATGATCACTTCATGTCGTGTAGCAGTGGAAGAATGTTGCGATAATCTCGAAATGCTAGCCATCGATTGTTCTAAGCCAGGCATACTACAAAATTGCATCTGTTCAAAACAATTAAGTATCCGAGATGATACTTTGTTTAATCTCGAAAGTGAAGCACAATATCGACAAAATCTTGAAAGACTACAAATTATCCTTAATGGTGAGTATATAAATATTTTCTTCAGAAAAGTTCACTTATAAAAATCCATCTTGCATCCTCAGGCAGTTACCTCAATGGTCCAGTATTGGAAAAGCTCAAAGTAGTTGTAATGCACTCAAATGTTGCCAATCTTGGCATGACTTTTTACGGTTTACAGTTCATGGATTCATGTCCGAATTTACAAAGTGCCCATATAACCATTAATTCTACAACTTTGCTTGTTGATGAAACATTAAAACACGAATCTTTGCAAGATTTAGTGATACATTGCGTAAGTATTCATTGAATTCGAAATGTAATTGCCTTTTTGAAAAATATTTTCGGAATACACTTTATTCGATCAATTAAAGATTGCAATCAAGAATGCTAAGTTTTGTCAGGCTGAAAGGGTCGTCTGGTTGACCACATAAACTAATTGATTTTATACTTATAGGAACATTATGGCCAAATCTGGAACGATCTGAAAAGAGCTCTTATGAAATATCCGAATCTCAAACATCTTGCGTTGAGGAATCTACAGGGCAATTCCGCTAAAAGGTATGTTTTCTTTTGACTGTTATTCAGCTCTTGGTTGACCGATTGACCCATGATTGTGTTTATGCAAGTTTCGCCGATACTTATTTGTCATATTTCAAGGTCAAGGTCGTACAAGGTCATTTTGCGGGAATCGCTCAGGAAGACTTTAGAGGTCATATGAATGTCATTTCATAATTTTTGACCTTCAAAAATTATTCTGACGAAGTTTCAATCTTCTGTGATTAGTCATTCTCAAGTTATTATGATTTGAATATCCAAATCAATTCAGTAAAATTATCATTAAAGTTGTTCGTTTCAATTTCTCATCAAAGATTTTCATTTCATTATCAGCTATTTTAGCAGTGTTCAGTCACACAAAACTTTAGAATTTACTTTTTATCAGATTATCAAAATTATGGCGCCTAGATTTTCAAAGATTCAAAAAATCGATTTACTTGAAAATTATCTTCTTGCACAGAAGTCTTGCACAGCTGCTTTAAGAGCTGTCAAGCTTCTGTGGAACAAGAGATTTTTGAAAATCGCTCCAACAACATTTCACAACCTTTATAAAATTTATCGGGAGTACGGGTCGGTGGTCTACCAGAGAAAGAGAGAGAAAGTGGTAAGGACAGAAGAGAACATTCAGAAAGTGCGAGAAATTGCAGAGAATGCATCTCGAGAGGGCCTGTCTCTATCTTCGCATCGAATCGCATGTCTAGCCAACATGTCACAGCCCACGGCTTGGAGGATCTTGCGAAAAGATTTAAAACTCAAGCCCTATCATATCAAGTTGCTTAACAAACTCAATGAAGGGGATTTTGATATGAGAGTTGAGTGGGCTGATGAGATTTTGGTTAGACTTCAGGATGAAAATGATCTGCTTGGAAGGATAATCTGGACTGATGAGTCGATTTTCAGTCTTGCTCAGACTGTTAACAGGCACAATTGTGTTTACTGGGATTCTTCAAATCCAGATAAATCCTTCGAAGCAGACAATCTTGGGGCTAGAAAGGTCATGGTTTGGTGTGGGATATGGGCAGGTGGCAGAATAGGTCCTTATTTTTACACGGAAAATGTAACAGGGAGCTCTTACAGAGCGATGCTGGAGAACTTTGTTTTTCCCAAGCTCGCAGAGGTAAGGGAAGATTGGAGGACATTCTTCATCTGGCAGCAAGATGGAGCCCCTCCACACCATGCAGTCATTGTCAGAGAGCTTTTGAGTGAGACATTTTCTGAGTGGTTCGGAAGAAGAGGCACAACGGAATGGCCACCAAGATCTCCTGACTTGACTGCTTGCGATTTTTACCTCTGGGGGCGATTGAAAGACCAAGTTTTCAAAAGAAACCCTCGAACAGTGGATGAGCTGAAATCATTCATTTTTGAGGAGTTTCAAGAGCTAGCTCAAGAGGAAATCAGCAGAGCTTGTATCTCTGTAGCAGTCCGTTGTCGAGCTTGCGTTGCCATCGAAGGCAGGCAGCTGAAACTGCACAAAGATTACAGTTAAGCTGATTTCCTCTGATTTGTAAGAGAATGAGATGGAAAACTCAAAAAAACCTCGCTTAATAGGCAGAGAAATCTCTTATTAAGTGATGGCCAGTAAATTGCAACTCCCCCTCCACGTGGTACTGGCTGGGTAACTCAAAAGGAGCTCTGCACTCAAAAATTATTTTGAATAAAAAACAAAATTTGGATATTCAAATCATAATAACTTGAGAATGACTAATCACAGAAGATTGAAACTTCGTCAGAATAATTTTTGAAGGTCAAAAATTATGAAATGACATTCATATGACCTCTAAAGTCTTCCTGAGCGATTCTCGCAAAATGACCTTGTACGACCTTGACCTTGAAATATGACAAATAAGTATCGGCGAAACTTGCATAAACACAATCATGGGTCAATCGGTCAACTAAGAGCTGAATAACAGTCAAAAGAAAACATACCTTTTAGCGGAATTGCCCTGTATGTCACATAGAAGATGAAGATATCAAGCAATTGCTTGACATTTTACCCAATCTGGTTATATTTGATATTCGCGGAAACGAATTTGAAAACGCTGTTAGAGCTGCTAAATATGTCCAAAATTATTTTGAGCGAAATGGGAGATCAACCAAATTTTACCACAATAGGAATCACCATAAAATCAAATCAGACTGGCCTCAGTTGTACACTAAACGACAGAAAATTTGCCGAGGCTTTGATTTCATGGAACGTTTCTTTCTTAAATATCCCCTGAAAAGTCTTGATGGCAGATCGAAAATCTGATTGTCTAATTAGTCTGAGCGAAGCGAAGACTAAGCTCTACGAAAATAAATCTAATCTTTTGACGGTTGCGGCCAAACCATACAACCGATCTCATTGAAATTTTGTACAAACATGCAACATAGGGTTACGCATTGCAGAAAGGAGTAATGAAAAAATTCCTTACGGGGGTGGGGGTTAAACTGTAAAAATTGTGGATTTTTATGGTATTTTGGGCATAAAAGAGCCTGAAATGACGATAAGAATGGCTAAGTCTGCGTTTTTTGCATGTTTCAGATATTAAAATCGAGTAAAAAACCTTTGTTGGGAAATAAATAATCAGAATTTATTTTTGCTCTTATTTCTAACGCTCGCTCAGACTACGCCGGCTGACGGCTGACTAGTTAGTCTGAGAGAAGCGAAGACTAAGCTCTACAAAAATAAATCCAATCTTTTGACGGTTGCGGCTAAACCATACAATCGATTTCATTGAAATTTTGTACAAACATACAACACATGTGTACGCATTGCGGAAAGGAGTAATGAAAAAATTCCTTACAGGGGTGGGAGTTAAAATGTAAAAAGTGTGAATTTTTATGATATTTTGGGCATAAAAGAGCCTGAAATGACGATAAGAATGGTAAGATCTGCGTTTTTTCTCATGTTTTCAGATATTACAATCGAGTAAAAAACCTTTGTTGGGAAATAATTAGAATTTATTTTTGCTTTTACAGTCACCCTTCCGAAACTGCACTTATTTTTTTCAATGGTCCCTATTAAGGAGGAGTTAGATCTATTTTCGCGTTTCGTCGATTTTTGATTCAATTTTTTTAATTACCAATTGACTTAACTCAATTTTCTTTCGTGAAATATCAACCAAAAAACTCGCGAAATCTGCTTAAAGCGACATTTTAGGTTTTTGGTCTATTAAGGAAGATTGAAAATCGTGAAATATGTTGCCCGACCAATAGTGTAATTAAGCTATTTCACGAGAAGTGCAGTTTCAGAAGGGTGACTGTATTTCTAACGCTCGCTCAGACTACGCCGGCTGACGGCTGACTAGTTACTATGCTTTTTGTTTCCAATGAAACTCGTCCATTCCCATTAGAGATCATCTTTAGCCTTCAATTGATTTATAGAACCATGAAAAGTTAAATCAGAACAAGTGACTTACATGTAAAAATTTGGTACCATAACTGTATGCACGGTGATTGAATTTTAAACTTTGATCTCGATTAAATTTACTTCAACAACTGAACTTTGTTTTTATGCCTTACAAATTCACAAAGTTCTAACTCTTAACCCGAGAAAAGAGTTTTTCCATAAATCGGTTCACATTTCCTTTCAGCCTTTTTCGTAATTTCATTAAAAGAAATTTCTTCAGCTAAAGAAGTTATTAGACTGTTCGAGTACTCATCATCAACTATTCAAAAAAAAATTTATAGGTTCGGCAAATGAAGTTTGAGTATTGCGTCATATAAGACCCACGCATGCGTCAACTTCAGTTCTCACGGATTTTTTACTCTTTTCTCCCTCATTTCCCACGGATTATCATTTCTATTTTCATATTACATAACTTAACTCTTTCAATTTTATTTATCTACATTATATTCAATTTAACTCTTTGATCTTAACTCTAATTGAGAAATCATTTAATTATTATAAAAACTTTACTAAAAGGTTTTAAATATTGCTCTTTTAACTGGTGCAGTTAAAATTATTATATAATAAAGTTTTAAGGCAATGGCTTCTTGCAGCTCTGATGTTGCCCTTGAAGGGCTTTGGAATATTGAGCGCTTAGCTGCGGAAGTTCTTGTTTCAAGGGAGGCTTGCGTCGAATGGTGTCAGGCAGTAGGACTTCTTCCAAAACGAAGAAAATGTCCGAAGAATGGGAAAGAGGAAATGGTTCTTAACCTATCAGGGAGGGAATATAGGGGAGCTCAAACATGCCTTGGTCTCAGATGGATGTGCCGAAAGCATTCCATTGAAAGGACATTGGCCGAAGATACATGGTTTGAACGCCACAATATATCGGCTGAGGATGTTTTACGGCTCACTTATTATTTCGCGCGGGGAATGAAAGTTGATGATGCTGTCAACGAAATTGGCCGCCCTACAATATCGAAGTCCACTGTGATGGATATTTATTCATATTGTAGGGAAGTGTGTATGCTTAGGTTGGATAAACTGTTTGAGGATTCAGGGCAACTCGGAGGGGAAGGGAAATTAGTGGCCATCGACGAGATGAAATTTGGTCGGCGAAAATACAACCGAGGCAGGTGTGTTGAGGGCAAATGGATCTTCGGTGCGATTGACCACGAAACCCGCGAAATTCGTCTCGAGGTTTGCCCAGACAACAAAAGAGATCGGGATACCCTCATTCCGATCATCAAAAAACACATTGCCCCCGGCAGTGTTATTGTTTCGGACTGCTGGAAACCATATGAAGTTCTGGGTGATGAAGGATACTTACACCTGACTGTAAATCACTCAGTCACTTTTGTTGACCACCGCACCGGTGCTCATACTAATGACATCGAGTCACAGTGGAGACCGTTGCGGTTAAGGCTACAAAGAGGAGGTGTCAGGGGTGAGGATCTCGATTATCACCTTTGTGAATTCCTATGGAGAAGAGGCTGCCGGAACAATAATCTGGATCCATTCTCTGATATCATAAAAGCTATCAGAGATGTCTATCCAGGTGTTGGCTGGTGATCGGAATGATAAGTGGAGGCGAGGGCGACCACTCTAAAAAACTGCCCGAGGCTGACGAGGCTCCCCACCTTCACGTGGTGTCAGCTGTTAGCACTGAGAGGGAGCAAATTGGTTGGGTTGGGTTGGGTTGGGTTGGGTTGGGTTAGGTTAGGTTAGGTTAGGTTAGGTTAGGTTAGGTTAGGTTAGGTTAGGTTAGGTTAGGTTAGGTTAGGTTAGGTTAGGTTAGGTTAGGTTAGGTTAGGTTAGGTTAGGTTAGGTTAGGTTAGGTTAGGTTAGGTTAGGTTAGGTTAGGTTAGGTTAGGTTAGGTTAGGTTAGGTTAGGGATCTTCTGTGAGCATGCGCAGTGCAAAAATGTGAGTTTTATCGGATTTTGAGCCATTTATAGGACAAAATTGAAACTTCATTTGCCGAAGCTGAAAATTTTTTTCTGACATATTCAGACCTTGAGAATTCTATAGGTCAAGTTTCATTAAGATCTGACGTGTGTGCCATACCGTAAAACTTCCCAGCCTTTTTCGTAATTTCATTAAAAGAAATTTCTTCAGCTAAAGAAGTTATTAGACTGTTCGACTATGCATGGTTCCTTTTTGCTAGTTTATGGTCCCTGCAGCGCGAGGAAGACATTAAAATGATAAAAACACCGAGAAAACTGAATGGAAACAAAAATATTGTAAAAAGTATCGATAAGTATCATTGAGATTGGTATCGATATACGCCAGCTTCACGCATAAGTTAATAGTTAATCAGTTAATCTTTGATGAGCGCCGTCTACTATACTACCAATGGGATAATTAAGCTTCTTACGCATAATAGATGGCGTTTGTCAAGAATTAATTTATCAGTTAAAGTAGTGTAAGACTCAAAAATGAATTATTGTTGCATCAGATTAATCTTCTGTCTATTACCCTCTTGTTTAAAACCACCAGACTCAGGTGAAAACTTATTTTAAAATGTTAATCAATGAACTTCCCGACGATTGTATGCTCGCCATTTTTGATCAATTCAATAACCTGCATCATTTAATGGCCTGTTATAAAGGTAATTATGAATCATGTTTTTTAAAATGAAAATCGTTTCAGCGTAAGCCACAAAAATCGACCCTCGTCAAGTGAAAATGTGTCTCAATCTATTTTGTTACTATGTTTGAAGAGGATAAGTTGAGTGACTTTTGAGTTATATCGACGCGATTGTGCATTTTTTACTCTTTATAATACTTTAATACATGACGATTCGGATCTTGATTAATATTGATAGTAATTTATTGCAAAAGTTTCGTCTGTTTGAAATATCTTTTGTTATCTTATAACCATTACATACCTTAATCATCTGACTGTTGAGGCGCAGTATTTGAATATTTTACATAAGTTCCTGTTGAGTTGCTCTGAAGACAATTGAATAATGATCGAGCAAATCAACACTTTTAGTAGTTCTATAAAAATTTCATTGCAGTGTGTCTTAAATGGAGTCATTTAATTGCTAAACGAGCTAAAAAAGTTAAATATTTTATAGGTAAGAATTCAAATTTTCAGAATGTTTATTCACATTTTGATTCATTGATTAATTGAAGAAATTTATATTTTCAGATTGGCCTGATTATTCACCTGATTATGTTTTTTATGAAGACAGAGATCTGATTGATGTAGCCGGTCTGAGGACATTATTTCCAAATTTAATAGTATGTTGGTATTGTTGATCAAATTCCTTTTTGCATTTTTTATGAATATTAATTTTCTCATTTATTTCATCCACACAGGTTGCTGAATTTTCTAATAGATTCAATGTGAAAGTAAAATTTGAAGATATTGTTGAATTCGTCAGAAATCATGAATCTTTGAAAGGAATGATCAATTCATCTTGTGTAGTAATGGAAGAATATTGTGATAAACTTGAAATGCTAGCCACCGATCGTATTGAGCCAGGCAGCCTACGAAATTGTTCCAGTCTAAAACAATTGCATGTTTATAAATATACTCTAGATGATTTCAAAAGAGACGCACAATATTTACCAAATCTTGAAAGACTACGGATTCTCATTAATGGTGATTATATAAATATTTTCTTCAGAAATATTCACTTATAAAAATCCATCTTGCATCCTCAGACAGTTACCTCAATGGTCCAGTATTGGAAAAGCTCAAAGTAGTTGAAATGGCCTCATGTTTAACTCGCACATTTTATGGTTTCCAGTTCATGGATTCATGCCCAAATTTACAGAGTGCCCATATTGTCATGAATGTACATCGCTTGTTTGTTGATGAAACATTAAAACACGAATCTTTGCAAGATTTAGTGATACATTTTGTAAGTATTGATTGAATTAGAAATGTTATTGCCTTTTTGGAAAATATTGTCGGAATACACAAATTTATTCGATCAATTAAAGATTGCAATCAAGAATGTTAGGTTCTGTCAGGCTGGAAGGGTCGTCTGTTTATCCACATAAACTAATTGATTTTATATTTAAAGTTTTATAAGGGCCAAATCTGGAATGATTTGAAAAGAACTCTTATGAAATATCCGAATCTCAAACATTTCAGTTTGAGCACAGAGTACATGACAGATGAATATATCGAGCAATTGGTTCACATTTTACCCAATCTGGTTATATTTGATGTTCGCGGATGTCGTGGAGTCACTCAAAGAGCTGCTAGTTATGTCCAGAATTATTTTGAACGAAATGGAAGATCAACCAAATTTTACTTCAATGGGAATCGGCATGAGATCAAGTCAGATTGGCCGCAGTTATACACTAACTCATCGAAAATTTGCCGAGGCTTTGATTTCATGAAACATTGCTTTCTTGGATGTTTTCATTTGCTGCCGCGTTTCTTGATTCCTATTTATTATTGAAAACCACATACGCGTGAATATTATCTATTGTCTAATCTAAAAGTTGTCTTTGTGATTAAAGAAACGTAACTTGAGATCAAAAGAAGCAGTTTCTTGAATTTCTTGATTTCTTTCTTCAGTGAGAAAAAGATTGCATTATAATTAATAATTCTTCAAAATATTATTTAGAAATTAAAAAATTTTTGTTCTTGTTTATTAGTGGACTAGGAAATCACACAGTCTTTTTGGTGATAATCAACGTTGGCTGAACTGTAAGAGCGAAATGGGTGATGAATATGAGGGTTGTAATGGTGATTCTGTAAATGCAGTCTATTTGATGAAGGAGATTTATTTGTGTCACATGAGAAAAGGGCTTTTGCTTTCCGACGAAGCGTACTGTTAAGGTCTTTATATTTGTGAGAAGGTGAATGAGATGATCTGGCAGATTTCATGGTGTAGCTTGTCAATGATGAATAGGACTTTAGAATTTGTAAGTATTAATTTCGTTTGAAATGGAATGTAATCGTTTATTTGGAAATATGCTCGGCATATGCAACTTCATTGGATCTTTTTCAGATTATAATCAACAAGGTTATGTCCCGTCAGCATTAGTGGGTCATCTGTCCAATGTTTATCCATATAAACAAATATCGATAATTTCTCGATGGCAATATATCGAGAAATATCGAGAAATTGATATTCTCGCTACAACTCTACCATTTTATTTGAAATCACCAGCGGCAGCTATCATCTGCACCCAGCGATCATCGATAATTATCGATTTTATCGATAAAATGGCCCAGCACCATATTGTTGAAACACCTTTTTTGTTTTTTAAAAGACTCTTTTACCTTTTTGTCAAAATCATCAGATCCAAGTGAAATCTTTAGTTATTAATATTTATTTTAAAATGTTGATAAATGAACTTCCCGACGATTGTTTGCTCGCCATTTTTGACCAATTCAATAACCTGTATCATTTAATAGCCTGTTTTAAAGGTAACTATGAATTATGTTTTTTAAATGAAATCGTTTACATCGTAAGTCTCAAAAATGGACCCTGTCAAATGAAAATATGTCTTAATCATATCTATCTGACTTTTGTTTAAAGCTTTATTGTGACCTACAACTCGAATTCCTACAAAACTTTTGATAAGACTAAACATAAATTTTCAATTTGATGAGAGTCAATTTTTCGTGACACTCACCCATTTGCATGCCTTCAGCGTTGGTCAAAGTTATTAGTATTAGATATGTTTATTAGTAATTAGATTACTCAATCATCTGACTGTTGAGTATTTGAATAATTTTTAAATGGAAAGTCCTGTTGTGTTTATCTGAAGGCAATTGAATGATGATTGAGAAAATCAACACTTTTAGTAATTCAATACTTTTATTACAGTTTGTGTTAAATGGAGCCATTTAATTGTTAAACGAGCTGAAAAAGTTAAATATTTTGTAGGTAAGAATTCAAATTTCTCTGAAGATTTATTCACATTTTGATCAATTTACTTCAATTGAAGAAATTTTTATTTTCAGATTATCGTACTCATTTACCTGATTATTCACCTGATTGTGTTTATTATAGAGACAGAGATCTGATTGATGTAGCCGGTTTGAGCTCATTATTTCCAAATTTAATAGTAAGTTGATATTGTTAATCAAATCTCTTTTTTAATTTTTCATTGAATATTAATTTGCTTATTTATCTTATTTCCACTCAGATTGCTAAATTTTCTGATAGATTTCAAAGTCAAGTAAAATTTGAAGATATTGCTGCATTTGTCAGAAAACATGAGCCTTTGAAAGAAATGATCACTTCATATCGTTTAGCAATGGAAGAATGTTGTGATAAACTCGAAATGCTAGCCACCGATTGTTCTAAGCCAGGCATTCTACAAAATTGCATCCATTCAAAACAATTAAGTATTCGAGATGATACTCTAGTTAATTTCAAAAGTGACGCACAATATTTGCCAAATCTTGAAAGATTACTAATTCTCATTAATGGTGATTATAAATATTTTCTTGAGAAATATTCACTTATAAAAATCCATCTTGCATCCTCAGGTAGTTACCTCAATGGTTCAGTATTGGAAAAGCTCAAAGTAGTTATAATGCACTCGAATGTTTGCAATCTTGGTACGATTTTTTACGGTTTCCAGTTCATGGATTTATGTCCGAATTTACAAAGTGCCCGTATTACCATGGATTCTAGAACCGTGCTTGTTGATGAAACATTGAAAAATGAATCTTTGCAAGATTTAGTGATACATTTTGTAAGTATCAATTTAATTCGAAATGTGAAAAATAATTTCGGAATAGTCAAATTTATTTGATCTATTAAAGATTGCAATCAAGAATCTTAGATTTTGTCAGGCTGGAAGGGTCGTCTGTTTGTCCACATAAACTAATTTATTTTATACTTATAGGATTTTTATGATCGAGACTGGAACGTTATAAAAAGAGTTCTTATGAAATATCCGAATCTCAAACATCTTGCGTTGAGAAATCTACGTCGCATAATAGATGACAATATCGAGAAATTAGTTCACTTTTTACCCAATCTGGTTATATTTGATGTTCGCGGATGTCGTGGGGTCACTCAAAGAGCTGCTAATTTTGTCCAAAATTATTTTGAACGAAATGGAAGATCAACCAAATTTTACTTCAAAGGGAATCACCATGAATGCAAATCAGATTGGCCTCAGTTGTACACTAAACGACAGGAAATTTGCCGAGGCTTTGATTTCATGGAACGTTTCTTTCTTGAATATCGCCTGGGCAGTGATGTCTAGTGATTATTGAAAACCACATACGGGTGAATATTATCTATTGTCTAATCTAAAAAGTTGTCTCTGTGATTAAAGAAACGGAACTTTCATATCAAATTAAGAAGCGATAGATAACTTTTTTAGATCGTATAAGGCTTTAGAATGAACAGAATGGCAAATTGTGAAATGTGAATAAATTGTACTTCGTTCACCATGATTTCGAACGATCTTTCTTAAAATTTTAGATGCTGGTAAAATAATGCCAATTTTCGTGTTTCTCATTTTGCTGACTTTTAATTTTCTTGCATTTTTTATGTTGATTATTGAACAAAAGCAGTGAGAAAAAAATTCATTATAATTAATAATTCTGCAAAATATGATTTAGAAATTAACAAATTTTTGTTGTTTATTAGTGGACTAGGAAATCACACAATTTTTCTGATGATAATCAACGTTGGCTGAACTGTAAGAGCGAAATGGGTGATGAATATGAGGGTTGTAATGGTGATTCTGTAAATGAAGTCTATTTGATGAAGGAGATTTATTTGTGTCACATGAGAAAAGGGCTTTTGCTTTTCGACGAAGCGTACTGTTAAGGTCTTTATATTTGTGAGAAGGTGAATGAGGTGATCTGGCAGATTTCATGGTGTAGCTTGTCAATGATGAATACGACTTGATGTAAAATTTCAATTTTGGAGGCAAAGGTAACTGTTCAACTCCGTAAACAGTGGTACATGAAACGATAGATCTACAGCAAAGCTCTGTTAATGAAAGAACTGAATTATGCCTCCAGACATTTTCCATTCCATTGCGAAGAAGAACCATGCGAGAAAGTTCTGCAAATGATTCTCTAATATTATAATTACATAAAGGGCTAACTTCAAAGAATGACATGTTGTAACGTTGAGCGTAAGTTTCAGCTGAGTGTTCGTTAACTTGCCGTTGATAAGCTAAATGAAGTCGATTACCAATAAGAATCTTGGGCACTCCAGGTGCATGCTCTTCAACCTCACGAAGCCACCTTTTAAGACCAGAGAATGACCATTTATTGGTTATATCATACACTAAAAGGATTCCTTGAGCACCTCTCGAATATGAACGCATTATTGTTGGAAATCGTCCTTGTCCAGAAGCATCCCATAATTGAAGGCGAATCCTTTTGCCATCGAGCAAAATTTGGGTAGATTTGAATGCAACACCAGGAGATGCAGAAAAATGGTGTTCGTAATCAGAGGAAGATACATCCGAGTCCAAACTGTTTATAATTTCATCTTTCCCAACATCTGGATCTCCGACAAGCAAAAATTTGAGCACATAATCATAACCTTTGAATTGATCTATTGAGCCTGAAACACTTGTTCGATTCGTCATGGCAAATATAATTTTTTCACAATCAAAACAAGTATAAAAGTATAGAACCTTGTTAAACAATTTAATTTTCACTTTAAAAAATTATGGCTACCTAAATATGTATCAAAAAATGTAATCACAAAAATGTTAGCGATGCTTTTACCTTGATTTGGTTACAATAACCGTTACCGCAGTTACTATGAAAATTATCAAGAAACCGTTTAACTTTTTTTGACATTTTCAACTTTACTGTTGTGTCATGTGTTCAATTTTTATTTGATTTGAAGATGCAATTTAAAGTCAATCATCCGATTTTCTTGAACTTGACTGACTTGACCATTTTCGTGGTTGAATGTTAACACTTCAAGTAAATTCATTTGCTATTATTAGAATAATCAATCTTTAAAGATGTCTTTCCGTCCTAAATTATAAATAATTCAGCAACCGAGCCGAGCTGTTGAATATGCGAACATCTGCTCATCTTTCAAATCTTCAATAATTCTAGAAATTTAGATACAAGCTCGGCAGTATCTAGTTTAGCAAATTTTTCTCAGTGTTTTTTAGAAACAATTAAGTAAAGAAGATCAGATTAAACGATAATTCTTACCGGTCTTAACGAAATCGTGAGAATAACATTTCCATCTGTGTGAATAGCCATGAAGCTATTCTTACCCAACCTCGTTAAATCATCTGTTCGATTAAACTTGAATCTGTTTATCATTTTAAACTAGTTGTGTTGTTCAATTGGATTATTAAGTTAAATTTTAAAATCTTGTTGATTTGATCCAAAATTTTTCTGAATTGTGTATCAATAAGTGTTGAGTAATCATCTTAAACTCACCAAATAAACATCTATTTTTCGTCGTTCTTTTCAATCTATTCGTTTTTTCTGATTAAGTTTCTAAGCATCATAACTAATCTCCTACTATGTCAATCGAATCAGGAAAACAAGAGTCAACAAAGACTAATGAAAATGAGAAAAAGCTCAAACCTTGTTGTGCTTGTCCTGAAACTAAACAAGCTCGGGATGAATGGTATGATGCAATCTAATGTGCATATTATCAAAGCGTCAAAATTTACCTTTTTTATTAATCAATTCTTTTAAATTTTTCTGTTTCTAGTATTATCCAACGTGGTGAAGAACATTGTCATGACCTGATTGAAGCTCACAAAAAGTGCATGAGAGATCTTGGTTTCAAAATTTAACATTTGAAGAGTCTCGATTTCAAAATTAGTTTGTATTTATAATAATAATGGAAATAACAAGGTTAATTTATTGTATTTGAAATGTCTTGAAGTGCCAAATTTTTTGAAAAGTATTTAGACATTAGTAGAAAGTCAATTTAAAAAATTGAAGCTCATTCGCTGGACAATGTCGGAATCTTTCAACGCATTCATAAACTCTTGGAAACTGATATTATCATCTTTATCGGTATCGACTTCATTGAAAATTTTTTTAACATAATCTTTCGCCTTATCCTCTTCGCTCTCCAAATTTGGCTGAAGGGCTTGTAACATCGCGATAATTATCTCTGGAGTAATCTTTTCCTTCCTATCGAGATCATAAACGTTGAATAAGAATCCTATTTTGGCAGATTTATTATTGATTGAGATTCTTTCTTTTCGATGAGGTGAGAATCTAGCTAGTGCGATGACAAATTCTGAAAAGTTTAACCTCTCTTCCTGGGATTCATCAAGTAACAGTCGAATAATTCTTTCTCCAAATGGATTGCTTGCTAATTCTGGAACTAATAAATCTTTATATTCCAAGTAACCTTTCTGCTTTTTATCCAAACTGTTAAATCTCCATAATAGACGTTCAATTTGACTACCACTTACTGCAATAAAAATATTGACATTAAAGATTGATTGTAGACAGAGTATTTTAATCAAGAGTAACTTACACCCAGTTTTTTGACGAAGAGAGTTAATTTCTTCAGGATGAACACCGCATGATGATTGCGCATTACCCATAATTGTTAATTTTTAGAAGAATAAAGATTCTATTAATATGATCATTTACAACTTTTAAGCAAAGGATAATTAACACTTCAATAAAGGAACTCGATTAGTCTATAAATAATTAAGTAATAAACTTTGAGACTGGCTTGGATACGACATTCCAAATGTCGTTTCATCATTTTTTTATTACTTCATCATAGATGTTAGATGGGCGAAAAGGGCAACCTCGTTATATCCTTTAAATGTGTGTTGTTCCTTGTCAATCTAATTGGCGTTGAATGTGACCAAGGCACTGTTTGACCATTAGCTATTATTAAGAGCAATTTTTAGATTAATCAAAAAGGTCGGCTGATGATGCTATCAATAAGACTTACGGAGTTTTAAAAAAGTGGCATTTCCTCTGCATTCGATGAAACCAACACTTTTATTGTCATCAGAAAGAAGTTCAATAGTCGTCTCAAGTCGTTCTTTTTTATTCTTTTTTTGGTCAACATAATTTTGCTCGTTCCCAGCTTGTTTCTTTTTATCTGGAGCCTCAGGAGTCTTTTCTAAAGTCGGTTTTTCTTCGTTTTTCGGTGGATCAACAGGAATAATTTTAACCTTGGGTACGATTGAGGGTTTGGCGGTCCGTTGTTTACCCTTGTTTGGACCATACATCTTCCTCCAATCTTCCTCCAATTTCCCCTTAAGTTGCTTAAGAGGTAAGAAGTTATATTTAACTGCGTATTTTGCATGGTTTTCGGCAATAAACTCTGCCTTTGTCATGGTACGAACAGCTTTATTCTGGGACATTATCAATTTATAACTGAAAAAGCTTAATTTTGAAAACAACACTACATAACAAGATGAACTTAAATAAAAAAACCGCCTTTTTGAAACAGATGATGACTTTATTTCTCTCTTTCTGTAGAAAGATGGCGTTAGGATAAAATTTGAAAATTTTTACAGAATTTTCTGAATGAATCACAAAAAACATTTCAGGAGTTCAGTGTTTCCAGGTCATTCATATTAAATCTCATATATTGTGTTGTTTCAAAAAATTCATCTTCCAAACAGGTATCAGTTATCTGTGGTACCTTTTCAGGCCTAAAGTTTATTACAACTATGGGCCCCGATGGAGGTTTAGATGATGCATCGTTTTGGAAAACAAAGTAAGTTCTAATTTTCATGTTATTCCTGATCTATTGTGTTTCATCTACATCACCTTTTCAAGCCTGAGCTTATTCATGAACCCTTATTTTTTGTATAACTGTTCTTTCTTTCTTTATTCTTTCTCTCTATTCTGTTGCCGTTTTTTCTTAAACCAAGATATGAGGAAGTCAAATATGAAATGGAGGAATTTCAAGAGAGCTCCAGAGAGCTGGAGCAAGAATTGGAAGCACAATTAGCTCAATCGGAAAAGAAAATCAAAGACCTTGAATCAAATTTATCACGATGTCAAATGGAAAATGAATCCCTAAAAAGTAAATTGAACAAAGTGACCAGTGAAAGCACGGATCAAATTCATCAACTGCAAAAGGCATTAGCTGAATACCAAGCTGTTAATGAAAAATTATCTCATTCAATAAGGATTCTTGAGCAATCAAACGATGACTTAGAAAGAGCCAAGAGAGCCCTAGTTGCATCTCTAGAAGACTTTGAGTCCCGGTTAAACCATCAGATAGAAAAGAATGTTCTCCTTGAAAATGAATTGGGAGAAAAAGAAGAACTCGAAGTGGTTGTTCAAAGGCTTAAGGATGAAGCACGAGATCTACGATATGAATTGACTGTTCAAAAACAGAAGGAGCCTAATAACAAGAGTACCAAGGGTACACCATCTAATAGTGACCCTCGTCGATCTTCAGTGCTCTCACCGTCCGATGAAAGTTCAACCAATTCAATACCAGCTAAAAGTCCACCCACAAATTCCAGTGTAAATAGTAAACCTCGTTTATTTGGTTGTCATTCGTCCCCCAGTGTAGAGGATAAAATTAATTTTAGCCCGATGAAACAACCTCGAGCTCATAAAACTCTATTATCGCCTTCAACACGCATTTCAGCGCTAAGTATGGTCAGTGACCTACTTCATAAAATTGGCGCTTTAGAATCTAAACTAGACTCCTGCCGATATTGAAACCATCCAAACAAACGAAAAAACAAGATCATGCAATAAGCAGTTTATTCATTCAGTGGAAAAAGAGAGCAACCATTTCAGGAAAAACAATTGTCACCTTATTATTATAAAAAAACACATAATAAAGCAAACATTTAACAAATATCGCTTTTGATGTACAGCAAGTTTTCGACTTATATGATTCGGTATATATTTATAAATACATTTAAATATATTGATGGGGTGCCAGTGAATATATATTTAACTATTCTTATTTGTAAAACTGAAAATAAATGACAATATATTGTAGTAATCATTGAGAATGACAAATTATTGAAAAATGTATCCTAACAAATTACTTACAAAGAGGTGCCACTGAACATGGTGCTTCAAGAAAGAAACAAGATGTTTATTTTTCAATATTGAAATGGAAGGATAGGAATTGAGGAAAAAAAGTGGAAAAGCTGAATAAGTAATAAGAAAAGATTATTCTTTTCAATTGAACACAAAGAGAAGAAGAAAATATAATGAAGAATCATACATTATTTTGGGTGGAAAGAGTATTGAGAACTTGTTTTGTTGTTTCCTTTGATAATAATTTACATTCATTTTGTTTCTTTTTCGCTCAATTTTTGTTTCTCATTACAATTTACTAATCACGCCCAGATATTTGGGGATCAAATTTATTCAATTGAATTCACTGAATAGATTGAGTTATACAAAGGTAAGAAGACTAAAGAAAGAGGTGAACAAAAAAATACTTATTTACAATATTAGTCAAGCAAAGCCATTTGATTAAACAAGTGATAAGTCATAAAAACAATAAATAGAGTTTAGATTCTCATTTTTTAGTCTCAACTCAACAGTTTGCTTCCAGATATAATCAACGATCTCAACATTGATTGGGAAAATGAGTGATGAGTAATTTAAAATCATGACGATAAATTACAATTATTCAATGTTACCGATAATTCAATGAATCACTTAATTCATTGCACTTTTGATAATGTAATATTTTTCAATTTTAAAAATGGCTCTTGTTTTTGATTAGATAACGAGTAAATAAATATGAACCAATTAAAATTGGAGAAGCCAGAAAAGGTGAGATCAGACGAGAATGTTTATATTTTTCATTGTTAATTGTCAACTTAATATTTCAAGTGATTTAAAGCGTCTAAGGATGAAATCTTGATTATCTTTGATTAAATATCGTGAATTGTTGGAACAATGTTAGTCAGTTTATTGTGAAATTAAAGTCAATCTTGTTCAACTTTATAACTTAATTAGAAAAATCTTTTTCTCTTCAGTGTTACTTTATTTTTCTCTTGCTTTCTTGCTTGTGCTTTAAAATTTCACACGCTAATTATCATTTACTTGGTTAAATGTTTAATTATTATTATTATGATTTGAGCGAATACACAACCATTTTCCTCTCTTAAAGTGGTTAAATTGAATGGAAGCAAAATTATCTCCTACAATTATTATAATTGTTCGAGTTTTATCTTGCGTATGCTTTACCTTTTTAAACTTTACAAAACATGTTTAGTTTGTTGTGTTTGTTGATTGTATTAAATTGTGTTTAGATAAAAATAAATTATTCTACTCTTGGTCTGCATTGTAATTTAGTGTTAAATTATTATTGTGATTTGTGATTTAATCTAATGCCAAATCATGATTCTCTTGGCAGTTTCAACTCAAACTTACCATAAGGATTGTAAACGTAAAGATGGTCAATTCGTGAAATATTCAGATAAATGGTGAGTTGAGGCGAAAAGGTTGCCTTGTGATTTTGTACACAATTGTGAAACTAATTTATTTTCATTTTTCATTTACTTTCAGATTTACTTCAAACTGGATAACGGGATTTCAATATTGTGATTGAGGACCTTTTCCTTGTGGCAAAAAGCATGCTTACATAAAGACAGTAAACAAACAAAACAATGAAGTTTTGTTGCTCTCTTGTTGGGATTCAACTGGGAATCCCCTGGAAAGAAGTAAACAATCATTTTTTATACCTGATGGCCACTAAATAATAATGTTAATATAATAATTGCATTAACATTAGCGGTAGCAGCTTATCTCGTCACTTGAAAATGGAGATGATGATGGTGATGATGATAAGATGAACCTGGTCAAGCAAAAAATTCATCACTCAGAGTCCACCCGTTTTACCAAGTAAGTAAAATAAGTTGCGAGAAAAAAAAACCGATTAAGTCTCTTCTTTATCATTTATGTTAACTTTTTTTTCTCTTCCTTCTCATTCATCCCTTACCTTTCTCTTCCTGTCTCTCTCTGACTCTTTCTCTCTTGTTTCATCTTTCTCTCTTTCTTTTGTTTCCTATCCACTTTTCATTGCTTCTCAGATTTTTCTTGCTAATACCTTGAAGCTCAACCTTGATTGTGTTCGTACCCATCATCATCACCATAACTGGACAACGAATGGTTTGTGTTGGAATTAAAAGGCAAAAGGTTGTTGAACAGAAAGTGATAGTCATTAGTACAATGATAAACGGAATGGATAAGGTTAAGGAACGCAATCGATATTGACCTGATAACATTTCTGTTGTGTGATGCTCTTTTTTTGATCGTGTTAATCAGGAAGATGGATTTGCCTTCCTTGATTATGCAAGTTACAAGATGATTGTCATCACACGCAACAACCATTCAATCCACCCTCAGAATCATTGAATATTTGACCAATCATCAGCATAGTTGATTCTTGCTTTATTCAAATGACTTTCTTTTGAACAAGCTCTTGAACCTGTTGAGACTATTGTTCTGGCTATTAAATTTATATTACAATTTAGTTTTTTTTAAAGAAATGATGATGACCATAACATTGAATTCAAACGTGTCTGTCTGAATGATTACTTTGATCATTAAACTTGATAGTTTGAATCGTTAATCTCTTCAAGCTGTGACTAAAGCGATCTGATAGGAATTATTGGAGTAAATTGTTTATCTTGCTATTTTCCTGTTATAATTCAAAGTTATCTTTGGATCAGCCAATAAAACCATCCATTACTCTAATAAATGAATGAGAGTTGTTTACTTATCGTCAGCAACTTGATACAATTAGAGCCCTCCCTTCAAAGAGATCAATGGCTATGATCAAAATCAGCGTAAAAATGATAAGATAATAATTTGCAATAAAAACTAGTCTCAGTGTTTCCTCTGTTTCAGCTAGAGTTATTGACGCATAGATTGTTGAATACATCAAAATATTAAAGTCGTATTTGTGTTTTGTGCGTAATTATGGAGATATCATTACACGGAAAGACAGTTTTGGTCACTGGAGCTTCAAGAGGAATCGGTCGAGCTATTACCGAGACTGTGGTCAAAGCCGGCGCAAGTAAAGTTTATGCTGCTTGTATTTTAAAAGACGAACTCATCAAACTATCCAATGAAGTTCCCAATGTTGTTCCAATACATATTGATCTGAGTAAATGGTCAGAGACAGAAAGCAAATTGAAGGAATTAGAAGCTGTTGACTGTTTGGTTAATAACGCTGGTGTCTTGTGGGTAACCGAACCAGGATCAATAACAGAGAATGATTTCGATTCCATTTTTGCTGTCAATGTAAAAGCAGTTATCAATGTAACCCAGATTATATCAGCTAAGATGATCGAGGCTGGTAAAAAAGGTTCAATCGTGAATTTGTCCAGTATAACAGCTAAAAAGTCTTTTCCTCGATTCATGATTTATTGTACATCTAAAGCAACTGTTGACCACATAACCCACAATTTCGCACTTGAATTGGCTCCAAAAGGTATTCGTGTAAATGCCATCAATCCATGGATAGTTAATACACAGATGGGTAATGCAGTGCCTAAAAATGAAGCTGAAGCTGAAATGTACCGTCAACACACACCACTGGGTAGATTCATTGAGACACCCGAGATAGCAAAAGTTGTCCTGTTCCTTCTAAGTGATTGGTCCTCAGCGATTTGTGGTGTTACCTTACCTATCGATTGTGGATTGATTTTGTAACAAATTGTTACATTTGTTACAAAAGAAGCGTGGTGAAAAGAATCAACCTTTTTCACTTGATGCATTTCATCGGATCAACAAGTTACTGTTGAATTTAAGTATGTGATGATCAATAATTGTTTTACTTGTTCTTTTGTATCTGTTAGTCTGATCTTTCTTCACAAAAGACAATTCAAATTGAAATTCAAAACCTTTGCCTCTCTATTGTGATTAGATTATTTTCAATAGTTTACATTTTTGAATGATGAATAAACTCGATTCAATAATGCATTTTTTATCGATATTAACTTTTCAAAAGAGTAGTTTTGTTCAAATCGATATTGATTTTTTCTTGTAACTAAGGTTTTTCAATTTAATAATATCAAGGATTCCATTTTATCTGATTTTTAATGTGAATAAAGTCTTACTATAACGTATAGCATTCATTTATCCCTTAAACACTTTGATCATGATTGAATATAAAGATATAGTTTGTATATCAGCGTAGATTCATAAAGCACGCATAATTAATAACCACAAGGCCTTGAGGTTGATTAATGGAGAAAACGATACTAAAATTAACAATCAATTCTTTGAGCTACTCAAAGGTTTTGTTTTTCATTAAATTTCATTTTCTCTTTCAATTGTTTTGGTGTTAATTAAAACAATATGATTAACATAACCTAATTCCTGTTTAATATATCTGTGTGTCTTGTGGTGTTTTCAATCTGTTTTTTGCAAACACCTTCCTTGTTAAACTTGTCTCATGTACTTATATGTCAAATGAATCTCTTTTCATTGAAAACAGTCAATTCACATTTAGGATTAAGTTGAAAGGCATACCTTGAAGTAGCAAATAATCTGAAGTAGACAAGCTTAAACTCAAAATTGGCTAAACAATAAAAATGACCTAAAAATTAAGTATTATTAGCTGAAATTAAGTAGCTTCAATAACATTCAATTTTGTTTTGAAGTGAAACTCGAGAGAAATTTTATATCTTCAATGTTCACCGCTTTACACTGAATATTGATTGAATCGAAATAAAGATTCACATCGGTTTGGTTCTTGAAAATTTATATTGATTGGTGAACGATAGTATTGAACAATTGTAATCTACATGGACTTGACAGTGAACAATTGCTCAATGGGAAGAGAAATTTTTAAATTAAATTATTACATTGGTAGAACTGTTGGTAACTTTCTTTACATTTTATGTTATTACAATGAAAACATTTAATAACAATCAATTTTTGTACAAGTATTAAACAAGTTTTACCAGAAGAGGGTAGAAAAGGGTTTTGAAACAATTTTAAACGATGAATCTTGAATAAGAATTAATATCATTCAATTGAGATCAAGATTTGATATGAACATTTCTAATTGCTTGATTATTCTGATTATTGATCATCTTTTCACCAACCCATTTGAGTTCAATATTGGCCTAAGTGTCACACAAGTCATGTCAAGAGATACAATTGAAAAACTGAGATTTTTTAGGTTTGAAAGACGAAAATAAAAAGGTAGAAAAAAAGTGTAAATATTATGCCAAATATGGCAATCATATTGTGATTGGGAGAAACACCAAAGTGTAAAGGAGTGAAGATAAATGCGAAGAGTCACAATTTAACAATACTCTAATAATTCAAGTGATGAAGTCCTATAGCTATACTCAGGCTTATCAAAAAATAGTCTTTACATTTATCTATGATTTTCGTGTATAAAAAATAATCCATCAGAAATTGATAGAAAAGGATGAACATTGGTGAGTTGAATTTTCCATGAATTGTAGTTGCTTGGTTGAATAGACTTCCAAAAGGGCAAATTGATTTAACATTATACATGATTAGAATATTATTTCTTTGATTGAGACATTCATTGTCTTAGTTGATTCCATCAGATTTTTAGAAGAGTATTACTTCACCATTGATCGGTATGATGGTTTCAAGAAAGGGTTATCTAATGAATTGATAATACTTGATTGTTTTGTTCCAAAGATCATAAATTGTACTGAGATCTTTAATAGCTGCCGGTCGAACAAATAAAGGAGGCAATGTCAGAGTTTCTTTGTTTTCAAGCCATCTTTCGATTTCCTGGTCAGAAATAGCTAGTTTAGGTCCTATGTCAGTTTGATCGATATTTGCTTTTTGGGCCAATAAACCGGTAACATAAACATCATCAACCCAAAAGTACGGAGTTGATCTTGACTGTAGATAAAGGTCGAAGACAACATCAGGAGATAATATCACACTCCATCCAAAACAGTAAGTTGGATAATATTTTCCTGGATATTCCTAGAGAATGAAAAACAATTAGAATAAGGATATCAAAATTTTATAGATCAAGATATTGGCGTCATAATAACTAACCTCATAAGTTACTTTCCATTTGCTTTTATCACTTCTGGCTGGATAAGGGTTACGAATGACAAAACAGTTGAGAAGTCTTCTTGGCATCACTGAGTTAGCAGTTAATCCTTTCAAGTGAGATACTAATTGAATCACGTCAACAAAAATATCATCATCTGTTTTGAGAATAAATTTTGCATTTCGACAATAATATGTTATCCATTTAAGACCCATCACATGTTTATAAGTTAAATTACGATAAGTGTCTAAAAAATTTCCTTGAACAATATCACCAGTAGCTTTGTTCTCCGAGTCAATTGATCGTTGAAGCTCATAATCATCAACCATACCTAATAGAAAAACGTGGCGTATCTGTGAGCATGAAACATTCCGTGTGCTTGCCCAAGTATCTCGAATCGTTTTACGTTTTGCAAAATTTCTAGGAGCACTGTGGATGAATATGAGTAAAAATATATCGTCACCATCATCATTATAACCTTCATTGGCATCAGCTGAGCCATGGTCTTCCAAAGAAAACGGCTGTCCATGGCATATTCGGTTGTTTATGGTAAATTTGAAGTCTTTCAAATCAATAAGCTGGGACATGTCATCAATTTTAAGCTGGGAAAGGTTGAAGGAATCTTTATACTTTGGTGAAATAATGAGAGGCCGCTTCATGGAAACATTGTGACTTAGAAGAGAATCATCGCCACCAATATTCAAACTTATCATGACCATTGTACAGAGAAAGAAGCACACCAATACAAGGTTAAAGATGGTTGGTCTATTCCAAACGGGTTGTAATATTCGAGTCTTCATGGTTGACTAATTGGCGCATTGTCAAAGACTGAATCAATGTCACTTACATTTTAAATATAAAGAGATCACACAGTGCAAATAAGTGCAGCAACAAATTTAACGGCAGAGAGGGATAATGAAAGATATAACAAAAATTATAGCGAAAAATCAAGTGATAAAGCTATCCATAGTTTGATCATAGAGGCTTTTGAAAAGATAAAGGGAAAAATCTACATATCGATAAATAATTTCTTCTATAAATAATTACTTTTTAGATCACATTAAATAAAAGGTTGTTGATAAAATTACAATAAGAGTATTCAAAACAATTCAGGGTGATGTTCAATTTACTGCAAAGTCGAAACACAGCCCACAAAATGCGCGATAAACCAGTTTAGTTTAAAGTCATTACAGTCAACCTAAAAAATGAACCAAAAGCTACAATTTGAACAAACCGCTCTTTCAATGCGCACTCTTACTCCACCTAAAAAGTTACAAAAAAGGCTCACTCTTTGACCGGTTACTGAGTTGAGGGGAAAAAAGAGGGAAAACAAAAAAGGTAACTGAACAAATAAACCGAAATCGGTTAAATTGCAATTTCAGGGAAATTCAAAAATGCAATGAAAACTAAATAAAAATGAATAAAAAATTAAATTGATCGACTGTTTCCATAGTTCAACAATATGATAACCTTTCATATTGTTTACATATTAACATCGGACTCAATCAGTAATTTAACCTCAAACCCTATTCGGGTTATCTCAACATATTTAATTAGTTCATCTACATTTAAAACAATCATATATGTTTATGGTTAACCTCATCACAACCTGAGATTGAGATCATTACAGTTTCACTCATCGTGTTCAATGTGATCTTGATTATTATCTATTTTGAATGAAGGTTAGATGGTCATGGTTTCTGTGTAACTAAGCATTTAATTGTTGATTTCATGATTGTACAAGTTAATGCGAAAATTTTATCACTAAAATTGAAAATGAATTGAGGAAATGCAAGTTTTCCAGATTTTAACATTTAATGGCTCATTTTGAAAGACAATAAAATGACCTTTTCTGCTCTTCAAACCGTTGTTTGTGAAAATTGAATCTTGAAACCTGAACCTTTTAAATTGAATGGAAATTTGTAATTTGTATTTAATTTGTAGCCAATTTTTGGATAAACACTTGAAAGCATTGAATCCAAAATGCATTCTGTAACCTCTAAAGGCTCCAATCTGTCAGTGAGTTTCAACTTTCAACGCAGGCTTAGTTAACAGTGTCACCTTTTATTTTGCCAGTTTCACTCCAAGATTGTTCATAGACTCAGTTTTTTCCCTCAAGAACAATGTTCATGGTTTTACTCGTAAAAATATAGGAACAACTTATCCTGGTTTCCCTGTTTATTTCCTCTTTTACCGAATAAATTCAAACAAACTTAACCAGAGAAGAAAAAAAAGTTCCATCTTTTAATGAAATTGCCCAAATCATCACCAGAATCGATAAAATAATTTCACAATTTACAACAATTGCCTCAATGATGAGTGTCGATGAAAAAGTTTCAAACAAATTCAGTGAAAATTTAGTCAACAATCGAAAGTAAAGTTTACCAGAAAAACATGAAATGACGGACAATTTGATTAACCATTCAATCTGAAAATGTCAACAACCAATTTAGGTAAGTAAATGAATTGCAATGGAATGAACAATTTAAAGTTGACCAATTCAATGATCAAACTCGACCAATCATTTGATTGAACCATTGAGTAAGACAAGAAAGTTTCATTGATAGATTGATGGTTACTTTGATTTCTTGTTTCCTGATTGTTTACATTCACTCAATGAAGATAGATAAGCCTTTTGGGTATGAGCATCATGCCAATGATGAATAAAAGATTTGGAGAAAAAGCAAAAAGTTTTCAAATTTCAATTTCTGTAACAAGATGGTTGATCAAACATTGAAACATTGGAAACATTGAAATTCGCAAAGCAAATTCTCAACTCTAATTGACAGAATTTCCCTATTCTTTTCTCATATTTATTCATCTTTTTGTTGTTCTTTCCACTTCTTTTTCAGGGTAAAATTGAGCTTGAAAACTTCTGTTTCAACTCAAACAATGAACTTCAACATTATTCATCTTATTCATGTTTTTCAGTCTTTTTTGTTGTTTATTGTTTTGCTTTACCTTTTTGCTGTTGTTACTTTGAGTTGCTTTGATTCGTGCAAAATTACATTTAAATTAGACTTTCATTGAAAAAAAGCAAAAAATAGAAACAAGATTGACATATTTATTTCAATTGAAACAGAAGAATCGCTTCCGTTTCATTTAACATTCAAATTCACTTTCAACCAGTTTTCAGGTTTTCTGGTTTACTTTACTTTTCTGGTTACCTCAACTGTTTGAACCATTAATTGTTCAAGTGGCAAAGCTTATTGTTCATTTTACATTTAATTTGATTGCTTATGGTTTCAATATTTGCTTCAACTTGTTAACTTTAAACTGTTAACAACTCTAATAATGATTGATTTGAATTAACGTTGATCATCCAGCAATCGTCTAACTTGGTTAACACTTTGACTATAATCACAATTGACAGTTGCTTCTTTGCGTATCAATGTTAATAGCTAATTGAATTTGCTTCTCAAATGGTCATCAATCAATTGATTGTTCATAGTTGGACCCTTTAAGCCAGTTAAACAATGTTAACAGTTAAATTGAAATCAGTCAAAATAGCAATCAAATTAGTTCAATGAATAAATTGTCATTTGAGGTTAAAATTAAAAGCATAGAATCAAATTTACCAATTTTGATGATCAACCTTTGTTTTCACTCGAACAGTTAATAGCTCAAAATGAGAATCTTTTTTGTCTAATTTTAAAGATGAAACCTTTTCAATCAACTTTGATTAATTTCAATACATTAACGTTCATTAAAGCCTTTTGTAATTGAATTGAAACAAAAGGATCGCAAGGTTTTATGGTTAAATCACAGAGATGTTAATTGCTGTTAAACACGGAATTGTTCATTCAACTTTTGTTGAGATGAAAATTGAAACAATAAAAATCTTTAAACAGAAATGATGAAAGTCTCGTTTAATTGTCAACTTTAAACAATTAGTGAATCTCAATGCACTTGAACATTGATTAACAATGAAATTTCACTTTTGTCTTGAAACAATTAACGACTATTCACAATTCAATTTGTTAATTTGAGAAATTTAATTTTCCATAAACTTGCTCAAAGTGGCGATTGATTAAATAACTGAAAACCTTGATTAACTCGGGAAATTCCCAGATTGTCATTAAATATGCAACTGAAGTGTAACAATTGAGAAGCACAATTGGTTGAACAATTGAGTGTCACAGCGAAAGATGAACAATCAGAAAGATGATCAACTTTAATTGTTCATTTTGTTGACTGATTTCATCAAAGTAAACATATTTTCTAGACTCGACCAAATTCAATGTTTACTGTTTACTGTTTAAACAAATAAAGGTTAAACAAGGTTGATTAATCGACAAACGATTAATGAAAGGCAAAGATTAATTATGAGTTGAAGCAATTAATGTATTAATTAACGAAGTGAAATAACAAAGTTGAAAAGTGCAGGTAAAGTGAACTTTAAAGATTCTGGTTAATTCCCTGGTTGATGGATATTAATACTTGAGTGAACCAAGTTAACAGTCAGACTAAGTGAATGTAAATTCATCATTTAACTTTCAGTTTAACGTGTTAATTGTCTCATTATACTTGATAGTCTAACAACTCTATTAAATATTTCAATCATAATTAACACCAATTTATCCTTTGGACAAGATAATCAGCAAGGAAACAATAGAAACATTGAGCTTGATAAATAATAAATTGAAACTAAAAGGATGTTCGAAGTGAACATTCATTATCAATGTTTTCGCGATCTTGTTCACAATTGTCATAACAGCATTTAAAAGTAACTCATTTTAGCTGACATTTGTTGACATTGTTTGATTGATTTGCTTGTTATGAAACAAACTTGTAATTTACTGTTTCAAATGAGGTTCATGAAATCATTATTGTCAATAAAAGTGTGAATTAAATGGCAACAGTTGAAAGCAAATAAAAACCCAAATTACTGACCTCAAAGCTGTCGGGTGACGGTTCACAGTATTTGCCTTCAACTGAAAATGCAAAAATTTAATAAATCTCATCTCAATCCATTCCAAATGAATTTTTAGACGCCAAATATAATAGTTTGATCAAAACAAACAAGGTTTATGTGGTATCGTACTACATCACCTTATCGGTGAGAATCGAAAGTTTCTTGTGAGACTTTAGTTATAATACTTAAGAGACTTATTTGTCATTAAAATAAGGGCACAAAAAGACCTTTTCCAGGGCATGAAATCTTTTTCTTTGGATCAACATCACATTTTCACCTCACAATTGTGAGTTGGAGCATCAGGAATTCTACGGGAAAACTGCTCGTGACAAGCTTAGTCCGCCGGTGGTAGAGCCCGCAATATCTGCAGCGATATCCAGGCTCTAACTGCCATCCATGAAGTTTTCCAAACAGTCCAAACAGTTTTGCGTCTTTTAGTTTAGGCTGTTCAGCTACCCTATATAGAGGTTCAAAGATCCAATCGGAAACTTTTCTGATAGTTGTTACAGTTTATGGATAAAAGAGGTCCAAAGTCCTGAGAAATTCCCATGTCCCATAAACAAAATTGAAAACAGATAATTCTGCAAACTCTGAGAAACATCAAACTAAGTAGGATAATGAATAAAACCCAAATTAAAAAATACAGTTGCAAAAATGGAACTAGACCTCAATACCATATCTTTGGCGCATTATTTGGTATCCAAGCACATCGATAGTCAATTTTTTGCGATAATTTTTAATAATCAACATCAACTCGAGATGCATTGGATAAGGCATTGAATCGATGTTGGTTATACTTAATTTATCTCGAAAAATCGACTATCGATGTGCTTGGATGCCAAACAATGCGCCAAAGATATGGTATCGAGGTCTAACTCCATTTTTGCAACTGTATATCCAATATTGGTTTTCAATATTGAGCGTTTTAATCTTGTCAACTGATCAAAGAACAAAATATCATTCATTTTAATACTCAACAAGCAAAGCTGTACTCACAAAAAAGTTGCGTGCTTTACTCGAAAAGATCAAGTGAAAAATTCTAGAGACCCTTCTTTATTCGTACTTTTAGACTTGAGTAAAGGGAGTTTAGTGCTATTATACAAAAAGTTAGTGCTGATATCAAAGTGGTAGCATGGCTTAGATGCGTATAACATATTACTAATAAGTGCTAAAAACTTATCAGTTATCAGTAATATTGCTTATCTTGATCAAAAATGAAATCTTGAAACAATTAAATCTTCAATATTTAATTATTAATACATAAAACGAATTGATTTTAACTTTCAGTTAATCCAATTAATATTATTGCCACTTTTGCCTTTCCAATTTCAACCGGCAAAACTGACACTTTTTTTGAAATCAATCTTGATTCAGTTTATTATCAAAACTGTGTAATCTGGTAACACAAATGTTAATATATTTATGTAAGTTGCACTTTTTCTGGTTTTAGGTGAATCTGTTGATGTGACAACATGAAACCAGAATAATCATCAATCTTATTAAGTGAAACAAAAAACATGAAGGCCAAGATGAAGTCGTAATTTGAAGAAGATGCTGTTCAAGATGTTACCCTCTTAATCTTAATTGATGCTCTTACCATTAATTAACTTTGCTTTGAAAGACGAAGATGAAGAGAGATGAAAGAGAAACAAAAAACTGTTTTTTACATCTAATAATATCTTGCTTTCTTTCCTTCCCTTTCTCTCCCTGTTCATCATCATCTGATTCCTGCATTTCATTTGCCTTATCATTTTATCCTTTCCACTTTATCCAGTTTGCATCATCATCTTAACAGTGACCCTTTCAATGGACAGTTTGACAATGGCCATTGATGACGATTGGATCCATAACAATAACAATAATGTTTTGTCCTTTAGCCACAAGAACAACAAAAGGGAAACCAAATTAACTCACAGAAATGGCTTATCTAAACACCATCCAAGTCAAGTTGGAACCAATAAAACCAATAACAGACTTCATTTCACTCAAGAACCACTGAATCAGGTTACATTTTTCAATACCGAAGGAACCATTGTTGAATGTTGGGCACACTCAACATCACCTGTTAAAATAACTTGGGCCACAAGTGAGGGCAAAAGGTTGTCAGATGTAACTGGATTAAGGTACATTCGAGATGATGGACTTTTAGTGTTTCCACCGTTCAGTCCAACCGATTATAAGCAATCCATTCATTTCAACCAATACATTTGCATTGCCACAGATGAATATGGATCCATTGCAAGCCGATTGGTGACAGTTAAAGGAGGTAAATACGAATAAAGCAAAATTCAAAACTAAGTATCGATTTTTTTCCAAAATTTTCATGAAAACCTATCGTTTCGAGTTCGAAACTTGGAAGACTTGCATTTCGAAATTTCATCAATTACAATTAAAAGCTGTCAGTTTATGTTATGCGACCGAAGTTTGATTTGAATCAATTTTCAATTTTTCTGTTTTCTTGACAATTTTGCAGAGATTCGAATAATTTGCTTTGAGTAGTTAATAGACGAAATAAAAGATTTTTGAGAAAACGTTATTTGCAGAAAACACAGTCGCTATTAGACACATTTCACCTGGACATGAAGAGACTTCTTGAAAAAAGTAGCTTAGCACTTCTACTAATGATAATTTCTTCAATTATTTTGAGCTTAAAATATCTTGAAATCAAAATGATGAAAATTCAAGTTTGTCAAAACTTTTGGAGGTAGCTTAAGATTCAACTTTTCAAGAGCAAAAAATTTGTAAATCTTTTCAGCATTAAAATTTAAAATCTCGGAACAAATTTATTGCCCAAAAGAAATTACCATTAAAATTAATGCTTCTATTTTCGGAGTAATATTCTTTATCTACTCCATGTGATTCAATTTCGAGACTCTTCTCGTTTAAAGTATATTTACACTGAAACTCATCCATGGATGAGGAAAGAGATGAAAGTGAAGCAGCTTGAAGTTGTGAGACTCGAGAAAAGCTCAAACAATAAAGTGTTCAAAAGAAGTTGAAAAATCTAAAGTGACAGTTATGATCAGTTTGTAAGGTTTGCAAAATTGAAAGATTGAAATTATTTGAATGAAGAAAAAAAAAGAAATGGAAAAGTCTCCGAAACCTGAATCCAATCTGGATTCAGATAACCTTTGCCCTTGAAGATGAGTGATGAAAATGATGACAATTTACCTTTTCATTTTTTTGGGTTAAAATTTTCAAGAAAAGAAACACTTGAATATAATAAAAGTTGGTAGACTTGAAAATTGCCATAAGATATTTTACTTTTCTCTATCAACCTTTTTTCCAACCTTTTTCATTTCATGGTGTAATTCAGTTTCACCATGGATAAGCTGAGAGTTACCAAGCAAACAAAATGAAAAGTCTGAAGATGAGAAGAAAAAAGTGAATGAAAAAAGCTGAAAGTCAATAGAAGTGTTTAGTGTTATTGGAATATCAAAGAAAAAAAATGAAGAGTAAAATGAAAAACAGTTTGTTACTGAATAGCAAAGGAAACAATCATGATGATTATGATGATAATAATAGTAATGATAATAATCTTGAGTCATCATTGATACTGTCGATTGTATCGAACGTACTAATTTGGTACAAAAATTGAGGTTAGCATGGAAAAAGTAAAAAGAGAAACTTTTTTCTTCTTTTCATTTCTTGATAGATAGTTTTACCATTGGAAAGGGGAAAAGGTTGAATCGAGAAAAAAAATTGGTTTCAAAGTGTTTTTCACATTCAACTAAGTAAGATGTTTCAGAGTAATCAGTTATGCTTGTGAACCTTGAATAAGTGGATAAATATCTGCAATGAAATCATGAATTCATTCTTGAACTGAATGCCTAATGGTTTGAAATGTTGAAGGATAACTTTCAATTTTTACTCTCATTCTTCATCTTCCTTTTTAACCCTTTACTTTTCATTTTTTTACTCTGATTTGTTCACTGAAAAGTTAACTAAACTGATTGAACCTATTTAAGCACAGTTAGGAAGAATGAAACTAACGAATTTTTGGGAAAGGAAAATATCAAAAACTCAGTATTGAATCCATTTTGCAGATTCTTTACAGTTACATGCATAATCGTCGCTTTCTTTTAGTTATCTATTCATCTGTGCATACACAATATAAAAATTCAAAGAATCAAGTTTTTGGATAAAAATTGGGGTTCAATGGGATCTCAAGGAAAGTTTTTGCACGCCTGAAAGCCATGATTAAACAGTAGTTCTAAATTGGCCAGAACTTAATCTGAAGACACGGTTACTGAGAAATTCACGTTTATATAGGAACTGACTTTCGAGTAAAGAGATATCTTTGATAATCTGACAATAAATGAAATGTTCAGTTCTAGTGGTTTTCAGTTATTTTATTTCAGAATTTTGAGCAATTAACAGCAAATTTTAATGCTTAGTTTGCCAACACGCGTTAGTAGCTATTGATTTGATAAAATTTTTATAGATAAAGGTTCGAGTGTAAAGACCTGCTATCTCTTCGACCTCTCCACAATCAGCCCATGAGCCTGAAACAATTCCCATTAGATAGTATCGTCCGTTATCTCCTTGGTACATCAAAGGTCCACCTGAATCTCCTGAACAGGAATCGCCTTTTGTTTTCTTGTTGATCGCACACATATGAGTCTCAGCAACACTTTCAACTTCGACTTGGCTCTTCATTGAATCGCTAATCCCATCCAATTTCATCTCGTAATCTTTCTTCAAATCATTACATTCTTTTTCTAAACATGGAAATGAAAGCATAATAAATCAATTGATTCTTGATGACAACTGTTCAATTATCTTACTAGTCAAGTAGTCGACTTCAACTTCCAATAAATCATTAGTGAATCCAGCATTAGCTGCTGTGCGTCCCCAACCAGCAACCATCAGTGTTGATAAACCATTTTCAAAGTTCGGTAAACAAACTGGTGCAACTGTTTGGGTGTATTTAACAGGCTTTGAAAGAGTCAGAATAGCGAGGTCGTTGGAAAGATCGGAAGTATCGTACTTATCATGGATCCAAACTTTTGAAACAGAATTTGGCTTAGATGACACATTGAATGCCTTAACGAGCCCGAGGAAGACGTCGAGGTTCGATAGACTGTAAACTTTCCCATTCGCATTGACAACACAGTGAGCAGCAGTAATAATGTGTCTCTCATCAATCAATGAGCCTCCACATCGATGGTATGAACCATTTTTGCGATCGGAATAACTCCTGGGATATTGAATAACAGACGATTGGAAAACTAGTTTCTCTGACAACCGTACTTTACTCACCTAATATAAGCTAACCAGGGATACTTGTTGGGTCGAACTTTTGAGCCTCTATAGATTCGGCTAGTGGAACCTTCCAAACCACATTCTAAGAAATATGAAAGTCAAGAAATGATAAATATACATGAATATGGATATATTATGCTTGTTGGTTCCAACTATTGAACCTTTGTTGATTCAGCCATATTCGGTCTGAAAGAATTCAATATCCAAATCTACAAAGGTTCAAAAGTTAGAGCCATACTGAATCCTTGCAGACCACATTCTAGGGAACAGAGGGTCAGAAATGATAAATATACATGAAAATGGATAACTGAGAAAGGTTAGACTTACCACATGCAAGTGTTATACTTATTGCGGTAACTAGTAAAAGAAAGAGCAACACAAAGAATTTCATTTTCAATGATTTCATACAGAATCGAATGATGAATCAAAACTTGGATATGTTTTAATGAGATTACAATCAGTTCATTTTATACTGGAATTAAATCAAGATGCAAATGATTGGTTTGACAGTTCGATCTCTTTTTCCATCGATTTTATTGTTAAACAATAGAAATTTATTATTGAAATTTGACAGTAAATTTTGAGCACAAATTCCAAGCACTTACCCAGTTCATTCCTATCGCACCCAGAAGCAGACGTAAGCAGAACAGCAGTCATACTTTACGTGCAAAAGTTTAACACTCATCATATTCATTATATTGTCTAATCTAAAAAGTCTTATAGTTGGAATAAGTGTTATTAGTGGACAAGCCAAGAGTCATTTTTAAAAGTCAAAGATCATCTAATAGATTTAGTTGCCAAATATTGAACATAATTTGCTCGCAAAATTTCTCGTTGATCCTTCCGTCCAGTCACTGATGGATCGCAAAATTGATACCTTTTCTCAATTCAGTTTATTTTTGTTAATATTTCATTAACTCGAATAAGTTTCCTTTTGAAAAAAGTAACTTTACCTGTTAATGCACTGATTTACAATCCAAACAATAAAAATTTCTCAAAATACTCTGAATCCTGGGAATAATGAAAATAGATGAAAACTTGAATTCACTTGAAAATGAGGGAAAAACTGAAACAAACTTTAACCCAAAAACAAAAGATAAAAAGATGAAAAGCAAAAGCAGAGAGATTTAACCAAAAAAGCCAAAAAATGGTAAGAATCTTAAGGTAACTTAAGCTTTTGGTTTAACTTTGATAATAACTTGGACAATATTATACAATGATAATAATAAAAGTAATGATATGAAATGTTATATAACTTTAGAGTACAACTTATTTAGATGACTTTTCCTCCCCACTTTCCTCCTAATGGAATCCATTGAAAACATTCAACATGAAACATACATGGATACATGTGTTGATGTATTTGTATAAATTCATTCACAGTGCAACCTTTTCATGTTCAACTTGTTTGTATTCAATGTTCAAATTCAGGAAATGTTTTTTTCTTCTCTTCTCCTCCTTCATATCTCCTGTATTATGATAATAACATATCCTTTTGGTATGCATGTAAATGATAAAGAAAAAGGTTTATTCCGTTTAATTTTTCACTCTTATTTCACTAATCTTGTTCTTTACATGGAACAAGAATCAGAGTTGAAAAGATACAAAATATTCCCCGAGCCTGACAGAAGATTATTTTGAAAACATTTTCCCAAATAAATGTTATTTAACACTTTCAATTCTTGTTGTTTGATTGAAACAAGTTTCCAATTCAATTTCAAAAACTTTCACCATTCAGATTAATTCAGATTAACTATTATATTGATTACAATTATTCTAATTGCCTATCATGTTGATCCAATGAAAGTAATAAAAGTTTTTCCAAATGTCACAATGTTTATCCATTTTCTTTTCCCTTCCAAGTCAATCAAACTGATTTCTCCATGTTGATCATTCAATTGTCAGAATTGCTTCTGTTCTGTCAACAGCAATATAATCATAACTTATTTATTACCCGTCAATCTTCAGTTGACCCAAAGCTCGATTTACATTCTCCTTTAAACTTTCCCTTAGGAAATGTTCAACATTTAATGTACAAACAGAGCGAAAGGAAAACAACCAATGTTTACATTCATTATTCTGAAATTTATCTGAGCTTCTATTGGAATGTGGAAGATGAACTTTTCGAGACTTTTTTCTCTTCTTTTGGAAACATTTTCAAACCAAAGTTGATGGAAATTTTCATCGAAAATATTTACTCGAAAAAAAGGAAAAAATGTTTATTAATATCATGAATAAAATATCATTACAGTTTTACATCAATACTCTTCGATTGAGAATCATTTTCATTATCATGGAAAAGGGTTTAAACATTGAAATACCAAGTGTTTCCATATTGGTTCAATAGTTGATCAGAAAGTCAATTGACCCTGTTAATGTTATTGAGTGTGTTTAATCGTTTGAATAAACCATGTTAGCTGTTGACCAGTCGAAGTAAACATTTTTGGTTATCATGAAATTAATGAAAATGTAAAAGAAAATTTTCTTTATTCGCTTTTTCCAAAAAAATATCATGGTGTAATCATGGTTGGTTACCTGATTGGTTACAGTTTGAGCGTGTTCAGTGTTGAGGTGAAAGGATAATGGATGAAGGATGAAAAATGTTGATTTTTGTGACACGAGAAGAGAAGAGAGAAAAAAAGTTTTGAAAAGATCGCACAAAATTAATATAACCTGTAATTGGGATAATCGGAGCAGAAGAGGAATGCTTCTGGGAGTGAATGCTGGGAGGACATTGGGATGAAATTGATGCAAAGAGATGATGAGAGGAAAGCATGAGAATGGGAAGAGAATGAGATTACTGGTGAAGGTAAAGAGGAAAATGTGATGGAAGAGGAACACAAAAAAGAGAGAGAGAGAAACATGGGTGACCCTTGATTAAGTAATTTGTCAACCAAGGATGCTGTGTTTCTCACCTTAACAGGATGGCTCATCATGATCACAGGTTACTCTTTGGCTGTTCAACTGAACAGAGAGAAATGGAATTGGAAATTATCCTTGTTTGTAGTTTCTCCTGAAACTTGCTTCTCTTTTCCCCTTTCATCCTTTTCTTCGTCTCAAAATGATTAATTACAATGAGAAACGATATCTTTTCAATGTAATCATTGATTACCTTGTATTATTTCATGTCATGAATCATCCAGTTTGTTTCATGGATAAATCACTTTTCCCATTCCCTAATTGACCAATTCATTCTGTAAACTTCAATTCATGGTTAAACACTTTTTTCATCTTGCCAGGTGAACCGTTCAAAGGGTTTAGATTTATATTTTGTTAAAGGAAACTAAAAGTTTGGCGAGATGAACGCCTTTGTGTTAACTTCAATAAAAGTTTTTTTTTGTCTCCCAAAAGTCGAAGTTTGATTGAAAATTGGTTTATTAGTAGATGTGAATCATGAACATCGAGAAATCAAACCGAAATGCAAATTTTTCTTTAAAATGTTTACCACGTTAAATTCGACCCGAAAATTCAAGTCATTTTCAAGAAGCAAACAAAAAGTCTAAATCTGAAAATGAATCTTTAATTGAAATAAAAGAAAATAAAAATTAAGTTCGAATTCTTTTGGAGCTAAGCGATAAGTATTTTTCACGATTTCAGTTTATCGATCGCAATTTCATTCGTTTTTCTTTGACAAAAAACTGAAGCCAAATTTCATTTCGCTTAAAGCTGTCTCATGTAATATGAAATGAAATTCGAAAAACTTTATTGGAATTTCGGGAAAAATTTCGATGCTTTTTTTTGAAAAATAATTCAAAATCTTGATAAACCAAAATTAACATTTTCTCTTCATTATTTTTCTGATCTAAAAATTTTCTTGCACAGTTATTCGTCGCTCTCTGACTATACACGTTCACGATCAGCACATTGAAACAGGAGGAACAACCGCTTTCACCTGTCACATATCAGGCTCTGAATGGAGCAGCCAGTTGATGAGTGTTACCTCATGGCTTGAAGAGCCTTCAGGACGAGTGATCATAACAATCCCAAGTAAATCCCTAACGATAGGAACCCTTTTATCGAGTAAATACATTGCACTGGATGATGGTCGACTTTACATAAACTCAGTGTCAACCTCATTAAACAACAATCGCTACCGGTGCCGTGTAATCTGTAAACTAACAGGCGAAGTATTAACAAGTTCATCAGCCGGAAGATTAATTGTTACAGGTAATTACCCAAACTTAGCAAAACAAGCGCAAACAAAAACAATTTACAATTTAACCGAATCTTTAATAAACATTTACGAGAAAAAAAACGTTGACTCGAAAAAAACGAAAAATTCATTCCACTTTACAGTAATAAGGTAATTCAAGATAATGAGGATAATAGTGATTATAAGAGAAACATAATGAAGAAGAATCCTGAAAATGATGGAAGATTGGCACAAAAAAAGAAGTCGTAAAAAGCCAGAGAAAAAGTTGTCAAGAGAAGAAACGAAATTAAGACTTGACATCATCATTTAATTAATTAATCATCTTGATAAAGCTTAGCCTTGTTTCTCAACAATTTTCATCATTCACTTAATTCCGTTGTAAATCTAATTTGGATGTTATTTTTTGTTTCACTTCATATAAATAACTAATACATTTTTACTTAACCTTTTTTTATTTCGTATTTTCTTCTCGTTCCTTTGGTCTCTCATTTAATGTCACATGAAACGTAATTAAATCACTTTAGCCACTCGGGAACCATTTGCACCTCAAATAACAGTGAAAAGTGACCTTATCATTGGTGAACTTGCAAGTCAAGTTGTTGTTACCTGTATAGCTTCAGGTTATCCATTACCTTCATACAAATGGATACCAAGATATTCAATGATTAAACAACATTCCCTTCAACATTTAATGGAGTTGACCGGTGATAATGGGCAAACCCAGAATAACCAAAGTTTACACTCAGTCAATTATCTGAGTGACACTTCTCAAGCCGATCAAAGGTACATCCAAGTTAACCAGTTTTTGGTTATAAAAAACTTGACTCAACCAGATATGGGAACCATTGGATGTTGGGTTAACAATTCATTGGGTCAAGATAAGGTTTCCATTCAACTAATGGTTCGCTGTAAGTCACATTTCACCTCAGTTTTCCTCATTCTTTCATCAACTTTTTTCCTTTCCCTGAAAAGAAAATGATAAGAAAATTATTCGAAAAACAAAAACTCTTGAAATGGGCCATTTTAATGGTAAAAAAGAGTAAATGTGTCATTACCATGTCATTCCTGAATCGTGTTTATCTTCGATAAATATGATACTCCAAGTATTATTCAAATTTTCATGGCTATCATATTGCACCACATTTCATGACAACTCAATGATGATGATTATTGACCTGCAAACTGGTTAATCAATGGTTCAACCTTTTCAGTTTCTTTCAAATTCTAACCTTTTCTAGTTTTCCTTTGCTTTTCATGCAATTTAAGGTTATTTATTAAATTGACCCTTGACTAATGATTGGTTGAGGTTCTGATTAAGATTGAGATGAATTTTCATTCATCGATGCTAAGGTTACCTTGAAATTATTTTTACCATTTTTCTTTGCTTCTTTTCCCTTAACCCTGAGGATGAACAGTGGATCAACAAGACCAAATAGTTTCAATTGAAATGCCATTTCAACTTATTTCTTATGTTCTCATCAACTGATAGTTGAGATTCATTGATGAACCTGAGAGTCAATTTTTTTCATTACGAGATAAAAAACTTGTTCATGATGACTTTTCCATGCTCATTGCTTTAAGCGATATTTACTGTTTACTTGTAAATCCAATAACAAATCCCATTCTTCATTTGCTCAGTTCATCCACTTTCCTAGTCAAGAATATATTAACTTTTCATGAACATTATCACCATGAAAATTTGTGAGTTAACAAAATTTCTTTTTTTCAAACTTTTCCAAGTTCCATCTGGAATATTTTCTGTTCATCTTTTAAAGAAATTCGAGTTTTAAAGTTTCCTTTCCGAACCAGAATCACAATCAAATTCATTTAGAAACTTATTTTTCCAATAAAATTTCAATGAACTCAGTTTCGATTGTTTTGATCATCAAGTTTTGGAAAGAAAATATTCTTGAGAAAATTCCATTTCCTTTTCATGATACTTTTACTGTTAAGTTGGAAATTAAAGATTGATTCATCAACTCATAAGGTTCAATTAACTTGAAATTTTCAATCAATAAAAATGATAATCGATAAGAAATGGAGGAAAAATGATTTGAAAATTTCCACTCATGAGGGTTATTCATGGGTTAACAGAACCAACTACAAAAAAACGATTTCAAGTTTATCTGAAAGTTAATTGTTTCTAGACTCGAATTAGTAGTTTGCATGATTGATAGTGTATCAATGAGAATGGAAAAGATGCTCTGAATCAGGAAGATGATGATAAAAAGAGAGGGAAGGTTAACATTAGAAGGCGAAGTTCTGACAAGATCAGAAGAGTGAGTAAAATGGAAGCAAACAAGATGAACTGAATCTCAATATTGTTGTCAAAAGTGTCATCAAGATCATCAATAAAAGCATATTTGACTTGGGAGATAAATTTATTTCCATGGAAACGATCGGAGAAGAGAAAAGGCGAGAAAAGAAGAAAAAAAGTGTTTCCGGAAAATGATGTTGATGATGAGGATGAGATGATGATAGACAACACTTTATTCATCCGGTTACATAGAAAGTGTATCGATAGAGAAAAGTCAAAATTGTGTTTATTCGTTTACTTGTAGAACTTGGATTATCTATTTATCATGAAAATGATGAAAAGAAATGAACATAATTCCAATGATTTTTTCCCTCAACTTTATTCCAATTACCATTTAGTCTCATTTTTCATTGCGATTTCTTTTCTTTCCATCAACATCAACTTTTTCCTCTTGCAACTGAAGCTCCATTAAGAGTCAACTTATCCATAATCAGTGAAAGAGATTCTCAAGTAACTTTGATCAACTGTGATTACATCGGATATCCTGTTACCTCAATTGAATGGCGACTCAATGGTCAACCATTGAGCTCATTGTATTCCTTTAATGGTTCCTCAACAATTAAACTGTTAACTGTGACCAGATTAAAAATTGAAAGGATAACAGAGAAAGAACAAGGTTACTATCAGTGTTTCATTTCAAATGAATATGAATCAGCACATGGAATTGTTCAACTACAGAAACCAAGTAAGAAACGGAAATGCCAAAAAATGGATAATTTGAATTCAAATCTCTTTTTTTCTTCCATCGTTTTTCTTCCAGTAATTGCCTTACAATTTTTGGAAACTTTCAACTCTATCATATTATCTGAAGGCGATTCACTTCAATTGGTATGCAAAGTTGAAGGTTATCCAATGCCGAGGATAATCTGGACTCTGGATTATCAGCCAATATCCAACTCAGCCAATAAACGAGAAATCACAACACAATTGGACTCAAAGGTGATTATCATGAAAAGAGTAGAAGTTGATGAAAAAGTATCTTTCGATAAAACATGAATTTAAAATTCAAAAGAACACTTTTTTGCATAAATTTTATCCTTATTCAACCAACAGACCATCAACTGAACTTAAACATTTCTCATGAACTCAATTCTTGTTTTTCTTTGCAAAGGTAAACTTATCCAAATAAGAAAATTGAAAATAATTTCAAGCAAAAAGGTCAACAATGAAATAAACAGAAAATAATACAATCGGAACTTAATAAAGAAATGAAAATTTCAGAATGTCGAGTCTTTCAATTTGGAATAAATGAAAACTCAATTTCCATTCTTTACTAAATCGAGACTCAGTTTCAGTCAATCGTCTCTATTAGTGCATAATAGCGTTGTTCATTCAATCGAACTGAACAAATCTTTAAGTCAACATGAAAAGGCAAATGAATTTCATGTAAAGTTCAATGGAAATTTGAATGTTAATATGATGTAAAGAGTCGAAAGTGAAACTTGCCTTTTTTGATGGTTCATTGAATTTTAATTTAACATTTCGATTTGCGTCTCAATAGAACTTGTAACCAACAATTGAACAACAATTGAAACATTACCTTTTATACACTCAACTCTCTCCTTCAACTCACCTGTAAAATTTTTTTCTCCATTTTTCATTTTCCATTGAAAACTAGGAAAATGTTGTTGTCAGCAAATTGAAAGTAGAGTCAATTATCCTGTTGGATGCAGGCTTATATGGTTGTGTGGCTGAAAATTCAGGTAAAAAGATTGTCCATTCAAATAGAGTGAACGTTCGAGGCCTTCCTTTTGTCAAATCTCTTCTCAATCGGATCACAATTGCCGGAACTCAGTTAACGGTCCATTGTCCAGTCGTTGGTTACCCAATAGATAGACTGCTCTGGATCAAAGGTAAACCCAAATTTCAAGTATTCATTTAGAAAAGAATTTTTTTCTCTGTCGAAATTTTCTTCTTTTTTCAAAATGCTAACCCTGTTTAATCCAAATTTATCATGAAAACTTGATTTATTCGGAAATTTAATGTTTTCTTTTCCTTCATCAATCTGTGCTCTTTACATTTGTTTTCATCTATAATGTAATAATAATCTTGAGCTTGAGAGGAAAACGAGATTTGATTGTTTCTATTCAGTTTATGAATCTTTTTGTTATCAACTTTTCTCTCTTTCTTCATCTTCTCAAGGAAATTGCTGAGTAAACTTTTAGTTAGTCAATCAAGCAATTTAAATTTAATGGTTAAATTGTTAGATATTCATTGAGTTTAGAAATGAAATTTTGAGAAGAAAATTTTTTTCCCTTCTTTTTTGTTCTCTTTCTTTAAACTCAATAAAGTTGATGAAATTTAATCATTTTACCCATTTTATTGGTTCACATATTTTCATGCATTTATGGAATTTAAAGGTTATCAAATGTCTCGAAACTTTTTTTACCGTTGATTGATTTGGAACTTGTTTCATGGTATTCTCGTGTTTACTTTGGTTCCATTTAGGGTTTACTTATTCAATCAAAATCAGGGTTAAAGTCATTCATATTGACAATATTTAAAGTTTACTCATTAGTAGTAAAAGGTAAAAGTTTTCAGTTTTGGCTTCTCTTTCAAGTTTAACCTGAATAAAAATGAATGATTTTGAAGCATCAAAATTGCATCATGAGATGATTCAGGTTTACACAATAGATTCTGATTGTAACTGCAAGTTTAATAATTTAAAGTTGAAAATATAATTTTCATCTCGTCTAAAGATATTAATTTTCTTGATGTTTTTGCTTTTCCTCTTTTGCCTTTTGTTGTTGCTCCTGTCGGTTGATGATGATGCTGATGATGATTATGATGACTTTTGCACTAAAAAAAGATGGTCAAGTCCTTCCATACAATAGTAATCAAAATGTGAACTCTGATGGAAGCCTTGAGATTCGCAATCAAAGTAAAGCTCAAGATCAGGGTAAATACACATGCCGAGCATTCCAAGGAAACTATTCATCAGAATCTACTTTTTTACTCTCCATAAAAGGTAAGCTCATCACGAAACATGTTTCTTTCATTGTTAACAGTTTTTAATTTATCTTCTCATTATTGCGATAATTCAATGTTTTTCTTTGCAATATTTTGATTCATTTTGTCTGAATTGAAATCTAAGAGTTCATTGCAAAAGCCTTTTTTCCTGCTTTGCGAACTTGTTATTTCAGTTTGGTGAATCCCAAACTCTTTGTGATATTTTGAAAAATGAATAAGAAATTTTCGTGGTTAATTCTTTTTGTACATTTTCTTCCAGTTAAACCCGTTATTGAATCATTCCGCTTCCCTGGTGGACTCCATGAAGGACAGAGAGCCTCAATTTCTTGTACTGTTGCTACTGGAGATTATCCAATGGTCATTACTTGGTCAAAGGATGGCTCGATAATACCAAATGATTCTTCTAGTCCCAAAGTCATTTCAGTTTCTGATTATTCAAGTAGTCTGCTCTTTGAATCGCTTGATGTAACTCATCGAGGAAATTATACATGTCGATCAACGAATGACGCCGGTTTCACTGAACATTCAGCTTATTTAGAAATTAATGGTAAAATTTATACACTAAATTAACCTTTGCAATCGTTCACTTTTGACTAATTGAAAATGAACAATTTGCAAATCCGATAGATTGATCAGAATCAGAATAGAATGAAAATATGGTGCGAAATTGCAATATTGATATTATTATAATATGTATCAGTTTCAAGCAACAGAGTGAGTTTCATGAGTAGATTTTAAAAAATCGAAGAGATTGGTAGATCAGTTTAAATGAAAACTCGCTGCCTCAATCATCTATTACTCAAATATTGTGATAATTAATCCTTTTTACGCTCTATTAACTTTTGAATTGATTAGAAGCACCATTGTGGACACTTGAGCCAGTTGATAGTTGGTCAATCCGAGGCAATAAAGTAATTATCCACTGCCAAGCAAATGGTTATCCTGTTCCAAGAATTAGATGGTCCAGATCAGTTGGTAAGTCATTTGAATTCGGTTTGAAAATGTCTCGAGCTTGAATTACAGATTGGATAAATTATCCCTGAGAATATAATAATAATGAAGGATTTTATACTTTTGTTCAATTGAAAGATTCATCTGGAAAAGAGTTTAAACCAATCGCGAGTAATCCTCACATGCAAGTCCATGAAAATGGTTCATTGATAATTCATGAAACTGTCTCATCTGATGCTGGTTATTACCTTTGTCAAGCTCATAACTCAGTTGGACCAGGATTAAGTAAAGTGGTTAATCTTAATGTTTATGGTAAGTTAGAGAATCAATGTTTTCTGCAAGAAAAGCGAAGTTGATCTTGTGGCAATGATTTTCAGGATAAATGACTACGAAGTTGGAACTAAAGTTGAGAAAACAAATCTCGATTTTCCAATTTCAGCATTCTTTATGCTTTCAGTTTTATGTTAGAAACCAAAGAAAGCACTGCTTACGAAAGATCATAAATAAAGTTCAACTTAGTTGCCTTTAATTGTCCAACCGTTAACTATTAATAAATCTTATTCATTTACAGTTAAAGCCCATTTCACTGAGCACAACTTGCACAATTATTCGAAGATCGGTGAAAACACAGCATTGACTTGCATCGCTCATGGCGACGATCCTTTAGACATGCAATGGTCCAAAGATGGTGAAACAATTGCATGGAATTACGTCGGAACATTAAACCATCAGCACCAATCCAGTGGCCTAAACAGTTTTTCCCATTACAAGCTATTCGAAGAGCATTTGCCTAACCTTGTCCGTTCAGAACTTCACATAAGCTCAAGCAAATCAAGTGATAATGGTCTATTCAAGTGCCGTTCGTCCAACTCATTTGGCACAGACGAGCTTACCATTAAACTAACAATCCAAGAGCCTCCAAGTCAACCCATTAACCTAACAGTTGACAAAATATCTTCTCGTTGGATCTCAATTTCCTGGAGAACTCAGTTTAATGGACATTCTCCAATTACAAATCACTTGATTCAATACACTGAATCATGGTCATCACCAGAGAGCACTTTAATGGACCAATTAAAAGTCATGGTTGTGATGGGTGAATCAATGAATGCCAAAGTAACCGGTCTACGTCCAGGTCAAAGGTATACATTGGTTGTTATCGCTGAGAATGCATTAGGACGAAGCAACAGTTCCAATCCTGTTCAATTGGCGACCGAAGAAGAGCCTGCCTCTTCCTCACCATTGAACCTTTCACTCAGCCCGTTATCGTCCACATCAATTCGAGTGACTTGGGAGCCACCCGAAGTGAAAGACAGAAATGGACAGATTCTGGGTTATTATATTGGAATAAGAGTCGCAAATGAAATTGCCTTGCCTTACACTTACTATACTTATAATGTTTCAGACGAAAGTGAAAGTGCCCCAAACGATGGACGAAATGTTGAGAAAAGGATTTCGAGTGAAAAGACTTTTTCTCATTCATCAGCATCACAACGTCTTTCAATTATTTTAGATAACCTCAAACAGTTGACTAAGTATTCTATAATTGTTCACAGTTTCAATAGCAAGGGTTCATCTCCAGCCACCAAGGAAAAACAAGTGACCACTTTTGGCATCGATTTACCGTCCACTCCTAGTCCATCAATAGTTTACATCTCATCAACCTCAATCCATCTAACTTGGACTCAAGTTATCGATGATTCACATCCAATCCAAGGTTATCACATTTACCATCGGATAAGTTCATCTTCACCATCAAGCAACAGACATTACTCAATGGAACCTGATAAATGGTCCCAAATCACGTTGATTGGACATCAAACATTTTACACCTTCCAAGGCCTTGAATGCGCAACTTTGTACCATTTTTATTTGGTTGCCTACAACTCGATGGGACTCAGTCCACCGAGCGATATTCTCGAGGCTAAAACGAATGGATCACTGCCCATCATTCCCGATTATTCCGAAGCAATCTATCAAAATTCATCTTCCATTTATGTTTCACTGGAAGCATGGCGTTCATCTGGTTGTCCGATTGAAGATTTTATCATTAAATATCAAATAAATTCGGGCTCAACTTCACGTTGGAATCAACTAGAAATTCCAAGTGAATTTAAATGGAAAGGATTGGTTTCCATTGAACATGCTATTGGAAGCATCAGTAAGATTCAGATTTCAGTTCACAACAAACTGGGAATAACCAAAGTCGAATACATTTTCTCTCCTCTTTCCTCGCCACTATCATTTCCATTGACTATCTCATCTTCAACCTCATTGTCTTCCGCCATGTCTTCATCAAAAGCAACAAATTCAACTGCAATCTCAAGATTGAATGTAAACATTGAGAGCAACAAAAGGCCAAGCTCAACTAAACTCACCTCTAAAGTGGCCAACAAGTTGACTAATGGATTCAATGAAACACTAATTTCGCAAATAATTTATTACGCCGCTTGGGGCTCAGTTATTTGGCTGATTGTGCTGTTGATTTACTTCGCCTCTAAAAGTACAATCTGGTCTAATCGTGATAATAATGAATCCAAGAGGAAAAGCGGTAAATCGATTGAATCGGAAGCTGTCCAATCAAGAGTCGTCTTGGAAAACACCAACTCAACTAACAGAAATTTAACCTTGCATGATCATATTACAGACGATCCAAGTAATTGCATGACCATGAAAGTACAAGATAAGTGTTTTGAACCTGAAACTTTAGTAACTATGGTTAAGATGACGGCAAATGGAGCAACGCATGAACCACTCTATTCAACCATCATGAAGAAGTCTCAATGTAAATTGTAAATCAAATTCTTGTATAAAATCATTTTCGAGTTTCTAATTGTAAATTTGACACATTTTTGCACTTCGATCAAACAATAAACAAATTCACCGAATTTTAACAAATTATTCCTAAGGTTGAACTTATGTTTCGAAGCTTTGCTTTTTAGCTTTGCGACGAAATCGATTTATGGGTCAACCTGATAAGTATAAACCGATAAGATGAAATACTAACTTTTCAAGGTTTCCTACTTTTACTCTTTATTTTGCATTTCCTTCACTTCCTTCATTTGAAATTGGCCTTTATTATGTTGATTTGAAATTTGATTAAAAAAATTTAAATATGAAATAGCCTGATGAATGAAATCCATATGTCCAAAAACACTTGCGAAATTAGTTATATGATACGATCCACAGGGCGGATATGAACTAGCAACAACACCTTGGATATAATGAATGTTATCTACTGTCAAAAACAAAGGTCCACCTGAGTCACCAAAACATGAACCGGATCCATTGACATTAGAAGTACAAAGATTGAAAACTGGAAAGTAATGTATCCCTTTATTTTCAGCCACACACTCTTGATCAGACTTTCTGAATAAAACTGCTGATCGCAATGCGCCCGGATAAGCTTGGGTTTCAATTTTACCAAAGCCGATCAATGTAACTGGTTCCTGAAGAGGAATTTCAACAAAGGGTAGTCTAATAATTGCATTAGGCCGAGGATCAGGTTGGTCCAACAGTAAAACAGCGATGTCATGTTTGATATTTTTTGGACCTGTAAGATTGTAACCTGGATGGATCACATGATACGGGATTTTGAATGTCCGATCGGTTGGATGAATAAACGGTGTATTTCGATAGTTGGGTAAAACACGATATTCACGAACATGCTCAGTACTAAAGAGATACAAACGGTTAGGACCTTTTAAGATACATTCGAGTAATCATTTGAAACTTACTCTACAAGACAATGAGCTGCTGTTACCACGAATTGTGCTGATATTAAGGATCCACCACATCTGTGCGTGTATCCCGTTGTGCTATTGGGATCTGGTTTTTGGATAGAAACGAAGAAAGGATATGCGCCTTCGGGAACAGGAGAGCCTTTAGCAACTCTTTCGTATTGTTCTGTTGAATCTTCGATGTCTGTTGATGATACAAGATTTGAATATAAAACCATCACTAAAATTGTATGAAAAATCATCATCGACTTTTACGATTGAAATACTCCCAAAGGAAAAAGCATAAATGATCTCAATCTTGATGGAAGTTAAAACTAAAATCAAACCAATATAACTCTCTGGTAAACAGATTGCTTCATTTATTAATCTTGGAAAAGTAAACTAAAAAGTATGAAACTTTATTCAGGTTGATTGAAGGCGGTAATACAAACTCAATATTATGATTTATAGTAAAGGAAATTAGAAGATGTTGTTTTTTATATTATAAATTATAATATTTCCAAGTTACTCAATTCAATTAAGAAAATTAGTTTAGTTGATAAAATCTGCTCAAAAATACTGGAAGCTGTTTGGTTTCGAGTTTCATCAATTTCAGTAATAAAAAAGGTTTGTGCCACGAAAAATATGCTTTCGTCTGATTGGAAATTGACTTAACTTTATGTAATTCATTGGCATTAATCCTAAGTCTATTTTCCCTTGAGCGCAACATTACCTTTTTTCACCGATGAAAACAGTCTTGTGATAAAAATCACACTTGGTCTTAAACCTTGCGATGGAAGTTCCATGTGAATAAAGTTGAGTCATTTAGAAGCTAGAGCTTCTCGACAGAAATGAGGCCACTCGTAAAACAGGTAAGCTACTGGTCAAGAAGAGCGGCTGTTAGCTCATGGCTGATAAGATAAAGACTATTTTTCACTAACCAGATTCGAGCCTAGCCTAGTGTTGGTAGAAGTACGAAGTTCAGAATGGTTGAAAGGAAGCAACACAAAAACAGAATGAACAGAAACTTATTTGTCCATTTTTTGTTGACGAAATCGACGATAAATCTGTTGAGTCGAAAAAAGATTTCGCAGTCGACAGGATTCGAACCTGTGCGGGATAAATCCCAATGGATTTCTAATCCATCGCCTTAACCACTCGGCCACGACTGCTGTGTTAACAAGGTTCATCAGAATGAAATGTTTATCAAAAGACATTAGTCAACTTGACGTTATAACGTTGTTACTTTATAAACTGTTTCTGCACCTATTCAACAACATTTAATGGCTTCTCATTGAAACTCATCAATCATCTTAATCGGTTGATTGTTTATGAACGTTAAACAGAAACTTTGTGCGTCAATTGAAGGTAAAGCTGTGCGTTAGTATTTGAAAATTAATGTTTTTATTCATTTGCTTCAGCATGATATACGAGCAGTCGTGGCCGAGTGGTTAAGGCGATGGACTTGAAATCCATTGGGATTTTCCCGCACAGGTTCGAATCCTGTCGACTGCGAAAACTTTTTTCGTCCACAAACTTTTCAAATACGAAATTCACGTTAAACAAATTTTTGTAAATAAAAACAAAACAAAACCATGTTCAGGCTCGTGTGAAAAACAATCTGTATTCAAAACCATTTTGAAGAGAAGCAGATTATTTTACAGTTTGATAATTTTAGGGTGTATTGTTGAATGCTTAATAGATGCAAAACATTGACTTTGGAGCTAGAGGTGGTGAGCTGATGAAGGGACGAGTGAACTAGCACTTTTATTTTATAATTAGATTTTATTTTATTTTTAGTTATTTTCATTGAAGAGGGTTTTTCATCTAGAATTTGAGTCTCGCATTGGATTTAATTTATTCTATTCAATAAAAAATAAGATCATGATTAGACGTTCTAACTGTTGAACCAAAATCGGTCTTGAAGATGTTGAATTGAAATTTGATGCAGTAACCTCTTCAGATCTAACCCAGTGGAGACAAACCTTCAAGTAGCAAAAAAGCAAGCAACTGGCTGAGGATGGATCTTGTCGGATGGATCATGTGTGTATCTTGTCGGTCTTTGTTTTAATAATCATCTTATTAGCATCTCTCCTGTCACCTCACCAGCATCATAAAAATCGGTAAAATAATTTGTGAATCAATACATTTTTTGAACAAAAATCACAAGAAAACAAACAACTTTAAAAATCTGAATTTAATCTCCAAAACAAACCAAAATTTTCAATGTTCCAATGATACATAGATTCATTCAATTCGGTCATTCCATTGGTCGTACTTTAATCAATTTGAGTCCATCGAATGTTGAACTTTGATTAGATCTCAATTCATCACGATTCAATAACAATATAGCATGATTAATGAATGCCAAATACTCAAAAACATTAACAAAATTAGAAATATAATCCGAACCACAAGGATGATACGAAGAGATAGCTACACCCTGCACATAACTTATATTATTTACTGTCCTAATTAAGGGTCCGCCTGAGTCAGCCGTACATATACCTGATTTAATGACATTAGCAGTACAAAGATTCGAACCTTGAATGTAACTACCATCGAAGTTGAGACCAAGGCATATTTCATCAGTAAGTCTGTATACAACCGCTGATCGCAATTCATTTGGAAACACTCCATCCTCAGTTAATCCAAAGCCAATTATTGTAACTGGTTCACAATAAGCCATAATTTGAAAGGTGGGTAGTCTAATAGTTGCCCCATGCCGAGGATCAGGTTGGTCCATTAGTATAACAGCAATGTCATTAGCGATGTAAATTCTTGTGGCATTGTAATTTGGATGCATAACGTATTGTGAAATTAGGAAGGTTAGATCGCCGTCCTGAATAAAAGGCGAATTTCGATAGTTGGGTAAAATGCGATAAGTGGGAACAAGCATAGGACTAAAAAAATACGAGTTAGGATCTTTTAGGAGTAATACATTCGAATAAGCATTTGAAACTTACTCGTGAAGACAATGAGCTGCTGTTAGCACGATTTTCCTTGTTATTAATGATCCACCACAATGGTGAGCGTATCCACTTGGCTTTGTGCGATCTTCTTTTTGAATAGAAACAAAATAAGGATATAGATCCAATTCGCGAACCGGAAAGCCATAAGCAATTTTTTCGTGGTGATCTTCTGGATCTTCCATATCTGTTGAGGATACAATATTTGAATATAAAACCATCATTAAAACTGCATAGAAAATCATGTTGATGATTTTGTTAAAATTATAAACATCCAACTTTTAAGATTGAATATTTTCAAAGGTCTAAAATAAATCTAACAACATTGTAAGTCTTATTCAAAGTTAAAACTAAAATGAAACCAATAACATTTGAGAAAACAGATTGCTTCATTTATTAGTGTTAAAAAGTTGATCTAGAAAAGTCTCATTATATTATTTCCAAGGTGTTGCATAGTTTCATCAAGAAAATTTATTCAGCTTATAAAATCCACTTGCATTTACTGTTAGCTATTTGGTTTCAAGTTTCATCAATTTAAGAATAAAAAGGTTTTTTCGATTGAAAATAAACCTGTCGCACTAAACTCAAACAGATTTCTGATCCATCGCCTTAACCACTCGGCCACGACTGCTGTAAAACAAGTTTTACCAAAATAAGATGTTTATCAAAAGACTTTAGTCAACTTGACGTTGTAACGTTATAAACTGTTTCTGAACACATTCAGCAACCTTTAATGACTTCTCATTGAAACTCATCAATCATCTTAATCGGTTGATTGTTTATGAACGTAAAACAGAAACTGATGTTTGAATGTAATTTCTCATTCCGTTTCTTCAGCATGTTATACGAGCAGTCGTGGCCGAGTGGTTAAGGCGATGGACTTGAAATCCATTGGGATTTTCCCGCACAGGTTCGAATCCTGTCGACTGCGAAAACTTTTTTGGCCTCAAACTTTTCAAATACGAAATTTACGTCGAAAACAAATTTTGAAATGAACTTCCACTTCAGCTTCCATATAAACTTCAACCAACGTTTCTTTTCATTCAAACATAAGCATATAACAAACAAAAAGATTCCAAGCCAAAAATTAAAATACCAATCATGTAACAAGTAGATAAACCTGTTAGCACATTGAAGCTTTCTACAAACACAAGTAAAACATCAATCAAAAGTCTCAAAAGTATTTTCTGAACTGAAGTGAATTAAGATTTTGCAAAAACGCATAAAAACAAAGATAAAATTTCGATTTGTAATTCATTGGCACGATTCGATATTGCTTGATGCACATTGAGAGATAAATAACAAAAAATATTTCAGAATTTCTTAAATAAGTTGAGATTTCATGAGAAAAAATATTCACCTTAAGATAAATGGAAAAGAGTTTTGTTTGTAAATCAATAGATGGAGCAAAGAGCTTATCCAGAAGTGAAAATATTTCAAGTTGTTCTCGTTCAGGGAGTGAAATCCAGAATAACAGTTTTTTCAGTTATTATTGCATTTTGCTCACTCTCATCATTATTCTGTGTTTACTTGAGCATTCCTTGTTTTCAGTTTTCCTCATATTACAACTAATAGAATTCATTTCCTTGGTTCTCAGAAAAAAAGTAAACACAAAGTTTATCTCGATTGATTACAATTGCGGATTATCATGAAAATGTTCACCTCAATTTGTTTCTGTTTAATGTTACAAAATTTATTGTCTAATAATGTTTTCACGGAACTTGCTTCCGATAATGTTAAACGTGTCCAATGGAATGAGTTGAGAGCGTCAAATAAATCAGTGAAAACTTTCATTGATCATGTTAATGGAAATGTTGGTTTCAGTGAATTAATGTTATCATCTTTATCCAATAACCATTCATCAACACATTTGTTAATAAACAAGGAAAATGAGATTAACTTGAAAGGCCAAAGTTTTTCATTGAAAGGCAATTCAACCAAAAAGGATGTAAAATATTCCAATCAGGATTATGAAAATCATGAAAGTACTAAACATAATCATCATCATCATCATTACCATTATCGTGATTTAGATAATTTGTTTGTGAAAAAACAGCGACACAAAAAGTTGAATGTAAGATCAATCAATCATCAAAAGCACCATAAAAGACGAAGGGTAACCACGAAAGGTAAGAAAACGTTTCATTGTTGGAATCGGTTAAAGAGAGAGAGTAAACTTTGCATTCAACTTTCGTTGACCCCAATGGTAACATTTTTCAGGTAAAATTATCGATTGATTGAAATTTGATTCCATCAAATCCTACAAGTGAAACTTGCAATCTAATTACAAGATTTGTTACTCGACTTGCCGAGTAAAACTGAAAATGAACCTTTAGATGCTCTATTTGATGAAAATTTATTGCCAGTCAATTAAATCCCAGTCTTATCAATCATTTTGATCAACAGTTTATTTTGTGATTTGAAAGTTTTCACCATAAAAAGTGCACATTCAGTATTGTTGTACTTAACGTTAAACCTTCTGGATTTGGGAAAAGATTTCAATAGTTGGTCACGAATTTCAAAACTTGAACTTTGATTCAATTTATCGCACAAACATTTTATTAGCATCGAATCACAAATACGATTAATGGTGTAAAGCGTTCAATTTCAAGAACCAAACGCTGAACCTTCAAAAGACAATCGTAACAATCAATTTATCGAAATCGCATCAGTAACTTTGGCGCTATTTTCGTGAAAAATAAATCATTCATGAGAAAGAAAAAAGATTTCAGTGAAAATTTTTCTTCGAAAATCAGAAAATCTTTTGATATGCAGATAAAAGAGAAGAAAAATGAGATTAATTCATCCATTGAACATAAGATGATCCAATTGGAATTTTCGGTGTTCCAAAAGAGAGTAAGAATTATAAAAGAAGATTAGCGGTGAATTTGGGTGAAATCTTCGAAAATGAAATTCGAAAAGTTGTTGAGAAGTTGGATGCCAATTTCATTCCATTATTTTGCAAAATAATGTTTATTTGCATTCGAAAGGAAATTCGCAAAATATTGGTCTAGAAGTGGATATCATGTTAATATCATATTCAGATGTATGATAATGTTGAATCTATCAGATATTGGATGATAATATTTAAAACTAACAAGATTCTCATATCAAGCTAGACTTATTTAACACATTGAATTGAAATTTTTACACCAAACTGTGAAATTCAAAAATTTTGTTTATTCATTCATCAATAAACCAGAATAAAGTTTACTTTATGAATCACAATAAAAACTGGAAAAGTTGAAAAACATTACTGAATCAACTTTTACAATTCAACTGAATGTTAAATATAAATGTTTACAAAAATGTTGCATTGTTACCATTCAGACAGTTGCACATTTAACTCCCAGTAACATTTCTAATGGTAAACATGCAACATATTTTGCCTCGCAAATTTTTTCTTCTCTCATGAAAAAATCCATTCTTATCGATTAATGTTAACCTTTTTTTTCAAACAAAAACTTTACCTTACAAGTATCGATAATTGTAATGGCTTGAAATGAAGGAAAAAGTTGAAGTTAATGAAGATTAATTTCGGTCAAAGTTGAAGAAATATTAACAGATATTATGTATCATCATTATTATGAGAAACATATGATTATTGAACATTATCATTGCCATTATTATAATCATTTCAATTCATTACCATAAGAAAGGTAATTTGTTGTGATTTTTCCTCTTTTTTATTCCTTTTTCTTCATCTTTGAGAAATAAATTTTTCATTTCTTTTCCGACAAAACAGTCTTTTGTCTTGTTTTAGCATTTCAAACTTTTCATGTAACTTAATGATCTTCCTCATCTTCATGCAAGTTACATGGAAATTGAAAATAATCAATGATTCTCTTATTTTTCTCTTTTTCCATTCGTCATAAAATTCATTGATGTTTCGAGTTACGACCCAAAAGAGGAAAGAACAAGTGTAACAAGTTGTAATGAAAATGTAAGCATTTCTTCATTCCCTGTTTACAAAAACAAGAATTATCATGCATTTTTATTTTCGCTTATGTCAAATTACGTCGAGTTTTGGTTCTTCAGCCAATAACCAGAGAGTTTCAATTTGTGTTTTTGTGTTCGTTATTTTTTGATCGAAAACACTGTCTAAGAGCTTAATGGAAAAGATGAACTTACATAATTCAAGAATAATAAATACGGTGTTAATGAGCCAGATTTAGGTTTAGAATCAGTCAAACTATAAGGGACACATTAAGTCAAAAATCAAGAAATTAATTTGATCCTGAATGAGCGTTCCACTTTTCCTTTGGATTCTATTTTCAATCTGAAGTCTTTACCTTTTTCTCTATTCATTGATGCTTTTTTCTTTACGAGTTTACCTTTTATATGTTTACGTTGATCTTGTTTCTCTTGTCTTTCTTTTGTTGACAATTTTTGTTTTACTATCTTATAAATTGGTCTCAAAGGTTTACAGATAATTGAAATTTGTCCCAGCTTGTTCAAACATTATATGAAACATTATGTTGGAAGCAGATATTATTAGTAACTAATTTAGTCGCAAAAGTAGTAAATTATCAGGAAGAGTATTAATAAAGTCCAGAGTCAAGCAATAACTTATCAGGATAGAATCGACTTTAGTTGTGAAATTTATCACTTCAGTTATGAGCAAACTGTTTGAAGTTCTGAGTGTCACAAAAATAATGCAAAATAACTCAATCTAAAACTGCATTTCTGTTGAATGTTGAACATTGCGATAATGGTTTTCTGGTTATCTTGGTTATCAGTTATCTGTTTAGTTTCTAGTTTGCAAATGATTAATGATTAATGTGATTTTCTTAGTAAAAAAACAGACTAATGAATAAAAGCACTTGAGAAGCGTTAGAAAAACAATAACTAAAGGATTTTGTCTGCAAAGATTTGCTTATAATTTTTACTCTTTTCAAAAATAACAAACGTTAAGTTCACGTAACGATGTTTGGAAACTCAAATGCCAATAGCTCAAGCAGTGCTCATCACAGAGTCTCACAACTTGATAAGTAAGATTTTCTGTCTTCAAAAATTATGCTGTCAGATTGACCTCTAACATAATCAGAAGCGATTACCGAAAAATGACCTTGAATGACCTTGTCCTTGAAACACAGAAGTAATTCGGCACAAAACTGTGAGTTAAAAACCTTTTTTTGGAAGCTTAATCCTAATCTTATATTCTGAGCGAGGCGAAGATTAACGAAACAAAAAACAAAAGAAGAGAAGAAAACTTTGACATTTGATTAGTTTTCATCAAAATCCAACATTATTCATTACCTAGAATCTCATTTTTTTGTTGCGATATTAGTGCAAAGGAACCCATGAAGGATCCAAAAGAATCAACTTACAGATATTTTACTCAAGTTGAACCAGTTAACCTTTGTGCTTAACCGGTGAGCTTGAGAAATGATGGAAAGTGTGCAAAGTGATTTTAAATGAACAATTGGTTGCTCTGGTAATGAGTATCTTGTTTGCCATACCAATCATCATTGTTACTTCTCTCACCGTTAAACCCATGATCAAGGTGTCAATGACAATGTGATCATTCAAGATTACTGAATCCAAGTTTTCAGGCCTTTCCTTGTTCACAACATAAAAAAGGTTAGCCATAATTATAACAAGATATTGATTTTTTTGTCGCTTCATTTTTGTACCTTCTTATCTGTATGCTATTTGAATACATCTTGTTTCCTCTTTTACCTGCAGCTTTACTCACAACAAAGTAATTTTGTTTCTATTTTCATGCTCTTGTACTCCTTTTTTCCCTTCCAGATTATCTTATGAATACTCAAGTGAGATGAATGAAAATTGAAAACATGGATTGTTTCGAATAGAAAACTGTAAGAGAAGAAGAAAAAAGCGAAACAAGTTCAGTTTGCTTAATCAATTTTATTGCTGATTTGTAATGATTTCCAGTTTCATGTATTACTATTGTTGACATCAAGACATGCTGAGCTTTGCAAAACAGTTTGTATATACATTTTCATTGTTAATTGAACCCAATTCTGAACTTTATTTGCCTTACAAAAAGTGGAAGAAAACAAGAGGGAAAAAAGCAAAGTCAAAGTAAAATAGCATGATGATGATCCTGGAAATATTGAACAGTAAAGGCAAAAAATGTCGAGAAAAAGATAAGTGCAAATGACAAACGAAAAGATGAAATTGGACAAGAAACCAAGTCAACATTCAAGTCGACTTTTGATGTTGCTTGGATCAGCATTTGGCTGATTGGATTAACACCATTTAACTGCATTTACCCAAACCAAATCTGCAAATTGTCACAACACTAACCATTCAACAGAGGTTTGAAAAGTGTACACAAAATGAGAAGTTGGAAAAAAGAGAAAAATGAAAATCTATTTTTTCTTCTATTAAAATAATGTTTCTTCATTGCGTGTTTCCCATTTATTACATTCAATCACTTTTGTTGTACAAACCATTTCCCATTTGAAAAAGTGTCAACAAGGTAAAGTCAATTAACAATTTAAATTGAACAATTTGCCCGATTGAATTGAGGCTATAAAAGGAAACAAAATGAGGTAAAAAGATTTGTGAAGAAAAGGAAAAAAGTAAAAACAAAAAAGTTCAATTCAATTGTTAATTTGCTGTTTGCTTTTTCACGTTCAAAGGTAAACCTGAAATGAATTATAAAAATACAACTTGGGACTCATTTTGCAAGGAAAACTGGAAAAGTGTTGTTAACACTCTTGTTTCAGTTAACCACAATTATAATCACAAGTCTAATCTCGAGACAATTGGAGGTAAAAGTGAAAGGTTTTGACGAGAAAAGACGAAACTCTAAAGGAAGCAAAACGTTGCAAGAAAAAGGAAAATGTAAAAATTTAATTTACTCGCAATTGGTCAAGTTGATTAGTAGACATTAACCTTTTAGATTAATCATGATTACTAGTTAATCTGTTCAATATTGCAACCAAGTGACACTTGCTTGATTCGGTAAGCTTGGCAATTGTTTTACGATCCGAGCCAAAGGTTCACCTAAATGGTCGGCAAATGGTCAACATGAACTGATCCATTATTGGACCTTTTTTTGATTAATATTACATGATTATGTTAATGGAACTGAAAATGTTTGCCAGTGTTTAGCCCTTGATATTAATAGATTTATTAATATTCAATGCCATAATCA